CAAATCTAAAATATAAGGTTACAGATAGAATAAAAGACAAAGGGTGAGAAATATTTAGTAAAAGAAAGCTGTTGAAGATCTTTTAGTAACGGACAAAAAAATAAGGCAAAAAGCTTTACTAAAGAAGATTGCTAGATGATAAAAAATTTGATAAATCACAAAGATGTAATAGTCCTAAATTTGTATGAGCCTAACAAAAATAGCCTCAAAATATACTAAAAAGCATTTGCAAATTCACCTTTACAGTGGGTGATATATAAAAATATAAATTTCTCAATAGGTGATACATTCATATAGTTCAGAACTCAGAAAATACAAAGAGGTGTATGCAGTTAAGTTTCCCTCCCAGCCTTGTCTTTCATTTGCCTAGTTAGCACCTCTTTCCCCTCAAGCCCAGTATGTCACCGCTTGTTTCATTTTTATCCAGTTTCTTTGCATATAGAAGCAATATAAAAATCGTGTTCTCTCTCTTTTTTAAACATAAAAGGTAGCATACTTACACACAGTATTCTGCATCTTTATTTTCACTTAATACATCTTAAGATCCTTCCATATTAGATTAAAGAGAACCTCTTCATTCTTTATTGCTGCTGTACTACTTTCAACTATATGAATTAACCTTAACCAACCAGTCCCATATTGATACTTGGATTGTTTCCAGAGTTTTGCTCTTCCAAACAATGCTGCCATGAATAACCTTTTATATACGTCATTTTGCATGGGTACAAGTATACTGGCAGGATAAATTACCCAAAGTGGAATTGTTGGATTAAAAAGTACATGCATTTGTAATTGTGATAGGTATCGCCAAATAGCCTTCTGTAGGGGCTGTAGTGATTTCTACTCCCAGCAGCAATGAATGAGAGTGCCTTTTTTCCTACACACCAGAATGTTAGCAAATTCTTAGATTTTTTGCCAGTCTGATAGGTAATACATGGCATTCTTAATGTCATTTAAAATTTTTTTCTTATTATGAGTGTGGCTGAGCACTATTTCATACATTTAAGAGCCATTTCTGTTTCCTGTTAACTATCTGTTCTTAGCCTTTTTCTTTATTGGGTTGTGGCAGTAGTGCGCTGGAGCTGGCTTGAACTAGTTCATGAGAGCCAATTGTTAATAAGTTTCCAGGAATTTTGTAAGCTGGTTTAACATCACATCAGTAGCCTAAATTGGCTTTGTGGGAATGTTTACCCCATGGAAATTGGAAAACACCACAAATCAGCACAACCACCACAGCTGCTGCCTACCCACCCAGCCACTTGTTAAACATTTACCAGCATACCACTGGTTGTTGGACTTCTTGATTCCTAGGAACCTTTGATATGTTAAGGAAATTAGCCCTTGTGATAGGAAGTGCAAATAATTTTTTCCAGTTTGTCGTTTTCTATAATTTGCTCATAGTTTTCTTTTTGCCATGCTAAGATTTTTAAAAAATTTTGTAGTCAGATTTATCAATTTTCTTCTGATGGCTTTTAATTTTAAGTCATAGTTAGAGTGAACTTTTCCACTAGAAGTTACAAAGGAATTCTCCCATGTTTTCTTTTAGAACTTTTATGGTTTCATATTTCACATTTTAATCTTAGATCCCATTTGCTGTTTTTATTGGTTAAAGTGTAAAGTATGGATCCAACTTATTTTTCCAAAGCAAAACATAAGCTAATGAGATCTAGTAATGTATTTTTAAAAAAGCAACACGTTATGTTGAACTACATATTAATCCTTGTGGAATGAGGCAAGAGCAGTGCTTAGAGGTAAATTCATAGCTTTAAGTTTATATTAGAAGAGAGATTGAATTAGGAGTTTGTTTCTAATTTGTTAAGAACAGAATAAACCCACAGAAGAGTAGGAATGAAATAATAAAGATGAGAGTAAAAGTTAATGAAATAGCAATTAAACATTCATTGAGAGGATTAAGAAACACAAGTTCTGTGAAGCATTGGGTAATTCCAGTCTTACATAAGCTCAGAGAATAGAAAGAAGGAATACTTCCCTCACTGGTTTATGCAGCTTGTGTAACCTTAGTACTAGCATCAGACAAGGTACAGTACAAACATTGTGTATGTGAGTGGTACCTCATGATCATAAGGATTAGCCCAGGTTTAAGCACATTTAGGCAAAAAATTCTTTTATCTCAGAAGATGCAGATGAAGAGTTAAAAAATTCAACAAAAATTTTTGATGGAAATTCTGAGCAATTAGGAATAGAAGTGAGTTTTCTTAACCTGTTGAAATATCATACTTCTATGAAATTTCAGAATTAGTTTTTCAAATTGTGGCTCACAGCAACAAAGCCTACGCTCATGCTTCTCTTTAGTATTGTGCTACATTTCTAAGACAGCAGGATAAAGGCAGAGAAGTGAGAGGGCAGAGTTTGAAGGGAAAAACTGAAGACTCATTTATAGATAATGTTCTATTTAGATAACTCCAAATAATCTATGTACAAATTAATAGAATTAATAAAAATTTAGCAAGGTTCCTAGAGTTAAGATCAAAATAGATTAATTACATTCTTATTTGTCAATAAGTTAGAAAATATAATTTAGTAAGATATGTTGTGTATAATAAAAATAAGGCACCTTTGAATAAGTCTATAAAAATTGAGCAAGACTTTTGGAAACAATTATAAAGCTTTATTGAAAGACATTGAAGAAAGTGAAATAAATAAAATATTAATCAATGGAAAGATCAATATCATAAAGGTGTCTTTTTTTCTCCAAAATTCCACAAAATGCCAGTCAAGATTTCAACAGGTCTTTTTATTGTATCTTGACATCCATATGGAAGAGAGTAACGGGGAGCTGGCCCCGTGGCTGAGTGGTTAAGTTCGCGTGCTCCGCTGCAAGCGGCCCAGTGTTTCATTGGTTCGAATCCTGGGTGCGGGCATGGCACTGCTCATCAAACCATGCTGAGGCAGCGTCCCACATGTCACAACTAGAAGGACTCACAACGAAGAATATACAACTATATACCGGGGGACTTTGGGGAGAAAAAGGAAAAAAATAAAATCTTTTTAAAAAAAAAAAAAAAAGAGAGAGTAACGGGTCTTGGGAAAAAGTGGATTGATGTGCCTTACCAGTTAGCAAGATTCTTTTCAAAAGCTAGTCACAACATTGTGATGTTGTACAGGTGTGGACACATGGATTAATGGGACAGATAGCTGAGAAACAGACCCCTGCATATATGTTAGTACTTAATAAAATGAAGAAGATGGGTTTGTAGATCAAGAAGAAAAGAGTTAAATAAATTTATTCGGACATTGGTTAGTCATATGGAAAAAATAAAATGGATCTCTCCTTTACCTCCTGCAGAGAAAGTCAGTTCCCTAAGTGACCTCACAAATAAAATGTTGAGCAACACAGTAAGTTTTGGAAGAATATATAATTTAAAAACATTTAAAATATATAAAATAATGCCGTCTATTTCTTATGCAACTATATGTATTAGAAATTATGAAGAAATGCAAGGGAATGATGAACACTGGGTTTCAGACCATGTTAAATGTTGGGGGAATATAGAGCAAAGAAGATTTTTATTTTTTAAGCTGCATAGTTATGAATTTTCATTTAAAAAATCTTTTTGTGACCTAAATATTTTATGATGAATTTGAAGTAAGAACTTCAGTTGCTTTTTCACGTTCCCTTTGCTTTGGTGACTGCCTTGATTTAGCTCAGTGACTTCCTTAGGAAAGTGAAGCGCCCTCACTCATAGGCTAGCCAGCCAGTCGAGCGGGCACAGGTGTCTAAACCAGTAGTGTGACCTTGGGCAAATTAACTAATCCTCTTGTTGCTCTGTTTGCTCCTCTGTAAAATGGGAATAATTGCTTTCTATGTTGTGAGAATTCTGAGTTTAACGTACATAGCTCTTAGTATAATATATGGTATAGCTCTTAATTTTAGTATAGTTTCTAGAATTTGTGCATGTCTTTCCTTAAACTGCTATTAAAAGTTATTAATTCTTTCTAGTTTTAATTTTTTGTTGTAACGCAGTGGTTTCTTTTATTGCTCCTTGCCTCCCTTTCTTCAACCTTTTTTAAGCCTTAGATTTGCTTTTCTCTGTTACTTTTCTGCAAGCTTTCTCAGATGATGAAGTAGAAATGATTTTGAACTATGTAAGAAGCCAGTAGGAGTTCAAATTGGTTTGTGTTTTCCCTATTAGGTTGCTATTCTGATTGAATTATGGCAGGAGAAGCATTTTGTGTTCCTTTGAAACCAAAGAAGCCCTGAATTTAAAAAAAGGTTAATCCCTAATCATACTAGTCTGATCATCAATGATTTTGCATTTATGAACTCATTTTAATTTTTATGGTTTCATGGTTTAATAATTGAAGTTAATATATTGCTTTACTTACAATGGCAAATTCTTTTCATAAATGCCTACAACATTGCATTATTTTTAGGTGATTGTTTCCCTAGGAACTCCTAATATTTATTCTTTTTATCTTCATCTTTTGCAGCCTAGAAACTTATTGGCAGACAGGCTTTAAAATAGAATTTTAATGCTGTGTATCAAAACATTTATTCTGCAGAGCGCTGTAGCTTTTGTTGAGTGCTGAGCGAAGAAGGTTTTTTCTGTATTGACTGTTTTTTCTGTAGTATTTTTCTTAAGATGACAGCTAATGTGTTCTTTTCTGTTTTTAGAAATTTGACAGATGTTTAGACCAAAAAAAAAAAGAATTAAACCTTAAAAAATTGTGGAAAAAAATCCTCAAATGGATATCACCTCCTCATCTGAAAACATAATATGCTAAAATAATTGAAACATAAGCAGCTGATAGGTTCATGACTCACTCTCAGGTTCCTGACCTCTCTGTAGAATTTGTGTATACAGACTTCATGCACGTGTGTGTCCACAGGAGCACGTGTCAGGACCACACATGGAGAAGAGCTGCTCTCCCTGTAGGAGGCCCAGGCCTTGTCCCTTGCTCACGTGTGGGTTGTTTTCTTGAGTAGGTCACACTTATTGAGAACATTATGGAAACACTGTTTTTGCTGTGTCCTCCAGGTCGGATCCGCACTAGACGACAAAGCTCTGGGAGTGCCACCAACGTCGCGTCTACGCCTGCCGACAGTCGAGGCCGCAGTCGTGCTAAAGTGGTTTCACAGTCCCAGCGTAAGAAGCATATTTATGCCGTTATCTTAGTTTTATTCAATAGCCCATTCTGCAGTTGAAAATTTACAGTATTTTCATTGACTTTAGGGGAAAAACACATTTCTTTGGTTCTAAGGAACTGTGAGTAGTCTTGATTCTTGTGGGGTAAGCTTAGAAAATGGACGTATTCAAGTGTACTTTTGTCTCCTGTCCAGGTGATTTAAATTTTGTATCATTAAGCATTAAACATTAAAATATAATTTCTCTCCCTCAAGCCTCTCAATATGAAACGTACCTGAACTGTGGCCCATTTTTCTATTGATAAGAAATCCCTCTGATGTCATGTCAGAGCAGGACTTGGGGAGGTTACTGCCGAGTTCTCTTTCCTGCGGTCCTGAGTAAATCCATCAAAACCTCTCCCCTCTAACCCTCTGTTCTAACATTTGCAGCCTGCTCCTCTCTTCTTGCCGGTGTCAGTTCTTGCTTTGCCCAGCTGCCCTCGCTTCCATTATTGCTTCTTTGTATATGTTGAGTCACTTGGTTTGTTAGCCACAGCCATGGAAGCAGTCATAGATGGAATGAATGTGTTCCGATCATTCTTAGGATCCAGCCCTGGTGTCTCACTTCCCAGCTACCTGTGACTTTGAGTCCCCTGCTCCCTCTCTGTGCATGTAGAGTGGAGCTGGGTATCAGAGTTCTCCTGGGCAAGGTGAGCACGGTGGAGGAAGACTCCCTTCCCCAGCAGCTGCACGTGTGCCATCAGCACGGCACTCCTCAGCTGACACACCCTTGGCTGCCTCCTTTGCAGCCCTGGGAGCTGTCTGGCTTTGTAAAGAGCAGTTAGTCTGCGGCCAAACCTTAGGTTCTCTCTTAGTATTTAGAATGCCTTTCTCGGCTCTATCTGAAGGTAGATGCTTTTCTATGTCCCTTATGATAAGTATAGTCCTTATGTTAGACAAGCTTATATCATTTCTGAAAAGAAAGTGCAAGGTCAGTCATAGTGCTGCCTTTAGTGAGGCTACAGAACCCAGGTTTCTCTGACAAAGAAGTGTATTTAAACACCAAACAACACAACATAGGTTGTGCTGGTGTAGCCCAGAAGCTTCTAGAACCTTGGGAACAGTATCCTGGCTCTGGTTATTCTCTTGAACTCTAGTGATGCCTGGAGTCGCAAATGGATATAATACTCTGCTCATGACTTCATAAATGTGATTCAGATCTTACTGCAAAGAAATTTTTCCTGACAAAAAATGTTCGACTCAGAATATAGGTCAGTATGTTGAAATTGAGTTGAATAAAAAATGTCCAACCCTATAGCTGTGCAGTGTTATTTCCTTTCTTGGAGAGTGAGGGTTAAACAGTATTTTACATTTCTTTATGTCTGCTCTTTATTGGCACTGGCCTCTGCAGGGGTCCCTGCCCCTCGCCGGGTCCTCTGCTTAAGAGGTGGTAAAGATGAAAGTTTCTTCTGTAGTGGGGATGAGGGTGATGACAGAGCTTTAATTCTTCAGTCATATAAAAATACTGCACCCCGCCTCAGGGCTCCACTTTAAAAACCCTTGGGTTTTACTTTACTCACCAAATTCCACTCACAGAAAGGGAGACAATACCAGCAAATGATCAACCCTGAATCTTAAACTTATGCATATAAATTAAATGTTTTTTTTGTTATTTTAATAGGAGGTAAATCTGAGCATATTTATATATTTTACAAATGTAGTATACTAGTATTTGTAGTCATGGTTTAGTAGTAAGTAGATTTCATTAATGTTAGATTTACAGCCCTTAACAGTTGGCATATTTTAAAATATTTGAGGATTAAATATTTGAAGATTAATATTTAAATATTTGAGGATTTGGCATAGGACATTCAGGTGAAGCTAGCTAATAGCAGTTTTTTTCAGTTCACTGATGTTTATTGAGCACTTCCTATGTGGTGAGCACTGTTTAAAGTGGTGGTGATAATACAAATGAGTAAGGTACAATCACTTCTCAGGTTGCCCAGAGCTTAGAGAGTAGATGTGCTCATGGAGGGCAAGGCACTTGTCTCACTCTTCTCTGCATCTCCTATGCCTAGCACTGTGCCTGGCACATTGTAGGTTTCTAAGTCTTGCAGGAACAGATCCAATGTAGTGTAATTTGTATAAAATAAACATAAGTAGAAAAGTAGACTAGGAGGAACAAGATCTAGAAAAAATAGCTTTTTTACTAATGTGTTTGTGAACAAAGACATTTGTGGTGTGTTGCATGCTGACCTTCTGTATTGTGTTATTGTCTTTTAATCCACTTTTTGCCTGTCCTTTGGTCTGCTCTCATAATCAAGGATCCAGATCTGCTAATCCTGCTGGTGGTAAGCCATTTCTCTTCTTGCTTTTTTTTTTTTTTTGCATTCTCCCTTACCCTATGTTCCTTGTACAATAATAATTTCTCTCTTTATAATGAGCTTAGTTAATCTTTCTGCATTTTTTCTGTATGTTCAAATTCTAGAGTTTGAAGTGGATTTCTTTTCTTCTTTTACACAGCTGAATAGTTTTTTGTGTGCTCACATTTTATGGGCAAAATTAATAGATCCTGAGACAGGTTCTTCATAGTAATGTGTACTGGTGATTTTTACAATGAATTTCACTTTAAGTTGTAGTTAAATCATTATAAAGTACTAATTGGTGTGAGTAGTCACCTTAGTGATTCATTTGAATGCTGGGAGAGTGTGTGTGTGTGTGTGTTTAATTTCTAGGTTAAATGTTATTTCAAAGGTTTTTACCTTTGGGTCATTCTATTCTGGTACATGATAATGTGCACTTTTATGTTTTAGAATTTTATTGACTCTCTACTTAAGGAGATGATCTATCTAAATAAATGACTGCCATTCTTGTCTGTTGGTATGATCCTTAAAATTTTGCTGTTTTCTCTAAGAGAGAATTTTGTCCCACAAGAAATGGTTGTATAGCTATCAAGCTACTTACCCATTAACAAAAGTTACTAACCATATTATTTGTTTTTAATTTCTAATTTTATTGGATACATCTCAGGGAATGTGGTCTATATGATTTCAACTTTTGTACATTTTTCAGATTTCTTTTGCGGCTTACTACGTAGTTGGTTTTTTATATTCATGTGTGGAAAGCTGAAAAGAATGTGTATTCTATTGGTTGAGATATACATGTGTGTATGTGGGAATATGTTTATATGTATCTATAGAATTTTGACTGCTTACTCTGTCAGTTTCTGATTGGTGTCTTAGCCTTTCATTAGTTTCTAGTCCTTCTGAGAGGTTGTTAATAATTATGACCTCTTCACTTTCTTCCTATATTTTTATCATCTTTTTCAAAGCTATGTTATTTGAAGCATAAAGATTCATTAATTCTTTTATCAGTATGAAATATCTTTTGTCCTTTTCTTATGCTGTTATATTCTGTTATTTTGTTTTAGGTATGTTGTTTGTCTCTTGTAAGCAATATACAGTTGAATTTCATTTCATTTGTTTTAAACCCAAGCCAAGAATCTCTGTAATCTTTTAATAGGTGAATTTAATCTAGCCATGTTTATTATGGTTACTGATATGTTTGAGCTTATTCCTATCACATTTTGTGATTATTTTATTTACTGTGTTTCTAGTTATTTCATCTCCCTGCCCCCATTTCTTCCATTTATTAGATTAGTGGAGTTTTCTTGGATCCATTGTCTTCCACTAATGTTTAAGAAATTTCTTTTGTATTTATATTTCTACTCTTCCAGCAGTTATACTTAAAATTGTTTAACATATCAACTCTTAATAGAATAAAAAAACAAAAGTGAATAAACACCTTTGTGGTTATTTGTAGAAATTTGCTGTGGAACAGGGAAGTTGTTTGTGCTTAGCCTGCTCTTTTGAATCAGAAATTTTGCAGTCATTTTAGTAGAAGTCCACCAGTAATTCTATGTATAAATATTCTTTTATGATAATTTGATGTTCTTGTTTGCTCCTACATTTTTAAAAAATTAGTACTACCAGTAACTAAGAAGCTATTTTTATATAAAATTCTCTTAGTATTTGATCCAAATTAATGTGTAAAGTGGCTTTTGAAATTGCTATAATTTATCCCCTGGTTTATCCGTTATTCCGTTCTGTTTTGCCCCCTTTCAGCTGGCAGCCGGTCGAGCTCCCCAGGGAAGCTGTTGGGCAGTGGCGGCTCCTCCAGAGGGCCCCCTGTGACACCGTCTTCAGAAAAACGAAGCAAGATTCCCAGGAGCCAGGGGTGCAGCCGAGAAACAAGTCCAAACCGAATAGGGTTAGGTAAGGCTTCTCAGAGACCCGGGAACACCACTCTGTACTTGGTCGTAATTTTGATTATAAATCTAATGACTTTGTCTAATGTAGGAAATAGAGGTCTATTTTTGAACCAAGGATGTCGTTTTCTGTGTGTTAAAAAGACATTTCACTTTGCACTTTTTACAGATTATGGCGTGTTCGGGTTTCACTTATAACTGAAAGCTGTGGGTCTTAATATTTACATTGATGGGAATGAATTGCATCATTGTGGGCTAAACACAGAAGTGTTTTAGAGTCATTGCAAGATAGTAGAATTGGGGGAATAGCAGGATTTTTTACTTCACAATTAGAAACAATATTGCTTTTCATTTTTCCTTCACTGATCAGCCATTAACCATATAAATGCAAAAGTAATTTCTGGGTCCACATTTATTTTGATTTTGATCTTCTGTGACCTAATTGTTGAAACTTGTGGTCAAAGAATGTGTATAGTTACTTTTGGCATAATATTGTTTAAGTGTGAAGCCTAGGAATAGATGAAAACCAAATAGATAATATTTATTTTTGTGTTGTAGTATTTAGTTTCTTTGTAATAAGATGTAGAATTATATGCATTACTCTCAGCAGCTCAAAGACCTCTTTTACTCTATTAAAATCTAATTTGTATGCTACCTTTTTAATGTAAAAGTTTAGAAGTCTTTTGTAATATATTATGAAAAATCTATGTTCACACTCTTATATCTTTACCTGCTTTCTAAGGGTAAAAATCTATCAATGTGAAATCAGAGTACTGTATTCTTTAGTCCTGTTGGCTTATCTTTCTTATTTATTCATTTATCTCAACACTTTTACTTGAATGTTTACTATGATGTCCTAAGCACTTTGTTAGACCTTTGGATTAGTAGATAAGTGAAATAGATTTAGCTTCTGACTTTAAAGAGCTTGTGGTCTTAGAGATGAAAATGTATACATTGTGACGGATTCTATGACAGGGAGCTCTGGGACCATAGAAAAGGAGTGTCTTAGGGTCCTTGTCTGCCCCAGTTCTCCCAGATTTCCTGCTAGGAGAGGCTTTCCAGAATAGGTCCTACTTTGATAAAGTATAAGTTGGGATTAGGCAGGGTGGGGAGATGAGGAGAAAGGGTTCTGGGGCAGAGAGAAGCATGAGCAGAAGCAGTCAGACAAGAGGGAGAGTAATGTGTTCTGGGAACTACAAGTAATTCATTTGGCTATTAGCAAAGGAAGTTTGTCAGGGTAGGGTGAGACGTGAGGACAGAGGGACTGGTTGAGTCCAGCTCATCAAAGTCCTTGAAGGCTGCCTGAACTAGGGGAAGGCCGGGACAGACATCTGAGAAACAGAACAGACGTTATTTGGTTTGACTAACATTTCCGAAGCAAGTGAGAAATGTAGCCACGCAGTGGTTTTGTTAATTCCATGTGATGCCAAGCCTCTGTTGGCATTACTTAGCGTGGTCCCTGAGAGGACCACTTATTTGGATCCAAAAACAAGTAATGGGGCTATAACCAGAGAAAAATATCATGACTGAAGTATGCAAATTTCAGATTTGATGCTGTAACATTTCTGTGTTTGGATCTGGTTTTGTTTGGAGTATGCATTTGATTTCAGATCTAGATGTGAGCTTTCAGCTGTCCTTTTTCCAGAGTTGATTAGGTTTTTAGGCTGTCTCTTGGCAATCCAGATTAGTTTCATGCTTTTACAAATTCTTTTCTTTTTCTGGATTTTACTTTTTATGTTTATTAAAGATACCCTTTTTACCTTTTCTTAGAATTGGGAAACAAACCAACCTTGGTTATCAAACATAACTCTAAGACCCAGTATTCCATGGGCTTGACTGTGAAGTTTGTGTTGCATATAGTTGAAAAGACAGCATTTAAGAAGTTTTCAAAAGAGGTGCTATGAAACATCCGTCAGTAAGAACTAAATAGGAGCCTGTTCCCCTCCAAAGAGGTCTTGTTTGAAACATTATTTTGAAGAAAGTAGTTCCCTTGAGATGCTCATTACGGGGATTAGTTATGTCTAAAGCTTTGAGATCATACATACAAATCTGATTAAGGAAGATATTTAAATTTGTGTACATTGTGAGAATACACACAGATACGAAGATAGATATATGAATTCATCTATATTCATATATCTATATGAACAAAATCTCTTGCGATGTCTTCCTATAGTATTACTTAGAAATGCTATTTTATAGGGTGTCAGATATATTAGTGAGTTTTTTCCTTTGTTTTTTTTTGATGAGGAAGATTTGCCTGAGCTACATCTGTTGCCAGTCTTCCTCTTTTTTTTTTTTTTCCTCGAGGAAGATTAGCCCCGAGCTAACATCTGTGCCATTCTTCCTTTATTTTGTATGTGAGTTGCAACTACAGCATGCTGGCTGACAAGTGGCGTAGGTCCACGCCCAGGAACTGAACCTGTGAACCTGGGCTGCTGAAGCAGAGCACACTGAACTTAACCACTATGCCCCGGGGCTGGCCCCTATATTAATATGCATTTTTCATTAATAGATTGTATATTACTGTGATCATTTAGTATGTACTGGGTATATGGCTATGTGTCTAAACATTTGGTTCATTATATAACAACTTGAAATATAAATATCCAGAAAAGGAGGGAGAATCTTTTCAGAATATTTACTATAATCCTCAACCAACTAATAGTTTTAGTCATCACTACACTGGGCTTGGAATTTGCACTGAGAATTAATTCTACTTATCTACAAATTATGCTTAGTCCAACTATGCCTTTTCTGTTTAAAGTAATATTTCTTAACTAAATTTTTCTTTCTCACCTATGATAAAAATGATACCAAAGCTCTTCTTTTTTAGCTGTTAAGGTTTCTTAAGCAAAACAGAATGTGATTTCTGTTGGATAACCAAAAAAACAAAATAAAACCCTGCTACTCTTCTTTTTTCTTGGCAGTTTATTCCTTCATAAACTGTTCAACTAAATGGATATATTTATAAATTGTTTCATTTTTGTGTTTTATTCTATTTTTGACAAATAATAAAGTCGCGTAAATAGCTAACATCTATAGCAGTTGTATTTCGGAAGTTTGCCTTTGGTTCCCTTCTTCTCTCACTTATCTATTGAAAAGGCTATAAAAAATTTTGACTTTTTGAAACTTACATTTTGTGGATATGTGTTTAAAATGTTTTCAGATTATATGGTTAAAAATAACTTGAAAAAATTAAAAATTAATAGTAATCAATTTCCGCTATTAAATTAGACTACTGTCTGCAGACCAAAACATGAAAATATCTAGACTAGGAGATATTTCATGTCTTTAACTTCTGGCAGTTTTCATTATTCTTCTTGTACTTCTGCTTTTAATATGAATTCTGGTAGGATCTTTCCTTAAAAGGCAAAAGTCAGGATTGTTTTTGAAATGCTATTAAGGTAGAGAAGAGCGTCTCACAAGAAATGAAAACCGATTAAATGGTTTTTCATGGCTTCCTGGCATTTAATCTAAGCGCAAGACTCCAGAGCTAACTAAGAATACTGCTTTTAGAAAGTTCAAATGGCAAGTGTGTTTGTACTGTCTCTTCCTTCTCTGTTATACCTTCTCCTCCGTAACATATTCTCACATAGAATGCTCAATTTTGGCGTCAATAAAGAGACAAGTTGGTTTGGTATATTGTTTTTTAAATTTGACTACCTAATTATTTAGTCTTTGTAAAAATTAGTTATTTATATACTTATTTTAAATCCTCCTTATAAATTGGTCTTTGGAAGTGTTGTTATAACTTAAGTGGGTGTTTTACCTCTTGTGTTTTAAATTACCCAACATTTGAACTGTTGATATCACCACTAGATGTACTTTAATGAGGTTTGGGGCAACTATGGGCAGATTTTGAAAAAGCTGTGAACAGAATTCTTTTTCTGTATTCTACTACTAACCGTATGTTAAAGGAACTAGCTAGCGTGAATGGGTGAATGAACTTTCTCTTGGTGAAATACCGCGAGGGTAAACCTTGTTAAGAATTATGCATATTGTTATTTCAGAACATATTTACTTATGCTTTTTCATGCTTTTAATTGTCTTCACAAAGCAGGCTCAGCCTGGAGAGAGAGCCGAGATTTCCCATTGCTGTAGCATGTATATTAATTTAAGGAATGGAGTGGGAGCTGGGTAAAAATTCAGAACTAATTAGGCAGAAACTATAAGAAAATGCTCAACTAAGCATGCACATATGTGAAAAACTATCAGGACTGTTTTTATTACCTTCTGATTGTTTGTTTTAGAGTGGGCATTGAAATAGACAAGATTTTCATGTATGCCTTTCAGCAAGGAACTCGGAAGTGCTTACATGTGTACATTTTCTCACAGTACCCTTCTCCTTTAAATGATGGCACTCCTTCTTCCTGACCTTCCTAAGGGGAGGCTGAGACCCAGAGAAGCTAAGTGTCTGGACCAGTGAGTTAGCATGGAATTGGAGAGGTCATTTCATAAGTTAGTTGTTGAGTGATGCTCTAAGGATAAGCAGTGTTGCTTTGTTGGTTCTAGGTAGCTTCTCGTTTATCAGTGGGATCAGTAGATACTCACTAGTTTTTTAAGGGTTTAATTTAGCACCTGCTGCTTTTGCCCTGATTGTACGAGCTGTTTAGAATGTTGTATAGAATTGCTGACTAGGCCCTGCTCCTTTGAGTGGAAACTCAGTCCTTTCGTGTCACTATGGGAAATGGAAGGAGAATTTAGGAATTACTAGAGAATTCCAAATGCAGGCATGTTTTGACTGATTGCTCAGATTGCACTCCTGTGCTTGACCCTTCCTTGTTTGTCGGGGCAGACCTAAGCATTTGAACATCACTTATGTACCTTTGGGGTCTAGTCAACTCTAGCACCGAGAGAGAAGGCAATAGGAAGTTGGTTTGGTTTTTCACATCCGTGTTCTTATTTTGTCAGAGAGTTTCATAATTCACTTTTGTAAGACATTCTTGTTGGAGTTTGGCCATACAATAAATCTACCTTTACTCTGAAATAGTAGTCTATGCTCATTGCAATATAGTAAACATGGCTGTTTTTACATTAGTGAATCAAGTTTATTTTTTCCAAAATTTCTGAGAAAGACATTTTTATCCTGTCTAGAATTGGTAGATCCTTTCAAGATGGAAATATTTATTGTCTCCAGGAGCTATTATGCAGGTGGCTACACATAGTCAGTATGCAGAGTTCTTTCTGAGTATTTTGCCAGTACTGTATTTCTGTTTTCTCAAATTAAATTGAAAAACAAGGGCATCACAGTCTTCTTTTGAGCTTTACAGCCAAGTTATATCAGACCGTAGATTATTCATGTGACTCTGTCTTCTCAGTGTTTTGTAATGTGAGAACAGTAAAATCCATAGATAATCTTAAAGTCATTGGTGGTTGTCAGGGCGGTGGAGGGATCTTTGAACATGAATGTTGGGACTGTCAGTCCACATACCATAGAGTCATGTGTTAGGCTGGGGAAGTGAAAGCGCTTGAGTAGGAACCACAGGCAAACCTTTTTGGATTCCCACCAGAAAAGCAGAAATTAAATGGTGGGACCAATAAATAAAGGAATAGCACTCCCAACTCTTTATATCTGTTGGTTTAGATAATTAAATATATTTGAAGCATCTACGCACTTATTCAAAGTGGGTAGGTTCTCCAGCTGTGTCAGTCCTTACAAATTCTCTTTGTAAAAAAGGCCATACTGGGAGAAGTTGAACCCTCTTGCTTTTAATTATGCAAGTTCATGGATTTCAGTGACGAAAGGCTTTATTCTGTTTTTTAATCCAAATTAACTTATATTTCTAAAAAGCCTGGGCATATGAAAATGGCTTTGGTCTTTCATCATCTTGTTTGAGAAGTTTGTTAAAGCCATAAGAACTGATCATTTCTAGAAGGCTTTTTGATCTTATGTTTTCTGATGCCAGTTTGCTTTTTGGAAAGCTTTCTTTCATTTCTTACATTTAGGCATTTTTTCACCTTCATTCTAAAGCCCACAGCTTTCTGAGGCATTGAGCAGAATCGAGTTTTAATCCAAACCCTCTCCTGTTGTTGGCACGTCAGTCAGTGAGACCTCCACATGGATAGGTGCTCAGTCATCAGAACTGCCAGCGCAGACAATGTCGTGATTACATTAACAGAATGTGACTGACGTTTTGTGAGTTTTTCTGTCTTCATTAAACTTGTTCACCTTCTCTGAAACCCCTCATGCTGCACACTAGCACGGAGCAGCCGTATCCCTCGACCCAGCATGAGTCAGGGGTGCAGCCGCGATACCAGCCGTGAGAGCAGCCGAGATACAAGCCCTGCTCGGGGCTTTCCTCCACTTGGTGAGTACATGTAGGCGCTGACTCTCGGAGCAGAGCTCCTTCCCCTGCTCCAGATGCTTGTCGGAGACACTGCTGGGTGGAATGACCTGCTTTCCCTCCTCTGCTGTCCTTGTGGTCCTTTCTTCTTTCTTTCCTCTTCCTTAGTCACCCTTTGTTGTCCCCCTCTGCATGCTTGAATTTTGGCAATTTTCAATTTTTATATATCAGAGGAAAAAAGCACCACTTCAGTCTGTACTGTTGGCATTTATGACTGCTTGCTACCAGGCAAGCCCATCTGTGTGGGAATTTCTAACACAAGCTCAGCTCAAGTTCACTGCTGCTTAAAAGTAGCGTTAATCCAAAGTTTATTCTTAGTCATTGAATTTCTACTATTTGTTTTTAATTTTACCAGAGATCAGACCATACAGGATTCAATTCAAAGAAGGAAAAAAGATAAAATCATTATAATGTTTAGGAAACTAAATGTGCTCAGTTTAGGGGTGATAACGTTAATCTAAAAAGCAGCATGAGTGAAGATGTTAGCCGTGCTTTTGTGAAATAGTCATTTCAAAGCTTTCTTTAAAGCAATCTAAAAACAGCTTTTTGATAAACTGCTTAGCTGTACAGCCCAATGCAAAACTTTATTGACATGTTAATTATGCAGATATTTTCATTCTTCCTGGGCTCAATAGACTACTTAATGTCTGTGACCTGACGCCATCCCAGGACAAAAGTTACAATATTCGGTCACCATGGGGTGGTATAAGTACTGTATCTCGGATCACTAGCCAGGTGCCAGAATTGGGCTGCTCATCCGCCCCACCCCCTGCCCTCAGTCTTTTCATAGCCAGAATTTGTGTTTTGACAGATTCTAGGATTCAAGAAAAACAAGAAAAAAAAAGAAACATATATCCTTTATAGAATATTGTATTTACCTATTCTTCTTAGTTTTAATAGTCCTGCTTTTCTCTAAAATGGACATATAATATACCTTTTTGTCTAGTGCAAATTATTAATCCCCCAGGACATCTGTTAACACATTCTTTCACAAAAAAAGAAATATTTTGTATTCTTCAGTAATTGTGTTTTAGTTCTGACATATTAAGTGCTGTACAGCTGTACATTTTCCTCTGGATAAGCTTAGCAGGTAGACAGCATGTCGTGGCAGTGAGGCCAGGCCTGGAGTTGCTATACGGAACGACAGCCAGCAGCAGTCTGTTGTCCGACTCTGTGTAACAGGTCTTTCACACATAAAAATGTCATTACAGAAGACGGCTGTTAGATCAAAGGCATAAAGTCTTAATATTTGCCCATGTCTCCTTCTCATGTCATACACTTCTTCTCAATATCTTTTTTTCCAAATCAATATCAATAATCCAAATCTAGATACAGTTCTTTCTGACTCCTTGTCCTCTATAAAGGTGAGAGAAAGAGCGGGTAAAAAGATGCAGAAGCTCTGCCAGATGGTCCTCTTGACTTAGTGAGAAAATACCGTTGTGAGACGTTCTTCCTGATTAGCCTGAGACCCTCAGTGGGGCAGCTTCTCTGGTACACGGCAGCTGTTCCACAGCAACCCGGAAGCATTAGGTCAGCATTCTCAACAAACCGGGGGCGGCAATGCTGTTTTTTTCTGAATGAACTGGTGATTTTTCCTTTTAGGTTAAGGCTGTGTATTTATGCCTCCTTGCTCACTATTTGACCTTCCAAACAACCTATTAAATAAGTGAATAATTCAATCTGTTTATTGCTTATTTTGTCTCTTAGAGGCAATTCAGTGTTTTTATTTCATACATGTACTAGTATTTTTGTTACTGTCCAGGGAAGCAACATTTGTAATCCAGCATGTGGTCTCTGGACCAGGCAAGGTATGCTGAATTCTTGAGGTCCTAATTGAAGCCTGAGTGGTTGAGTGATCTAGTCTGTTTGTCACTCTCTTTGGTGAAATGGATCTGCTTAAGTGTCTTGGTAACAGCCCAGAATGTTGAAATGTGTAATTGCTACTACCAAGGCAGAAGATGTGGGTGCAGGTATTTCCCTTTCTTAACGAACTCCACCATCAGCTCATGTCTTCTGTTGCGGTCAAGGCAATAATTAACATCCTTTCAGCTGAATTTTTATATCATGCCTTTTTTTTCCTCCTTGGGTTAAATCTGATCATAAAACTTCTGTTCAGCGAGAACAACAGCAGTGCTCGTGTGTACCTGGCACCATTCTGAGCAGTCAGTAAGCACACTGTGGTCCCTGTTCACCCTCTGGGACAGGTATTATCATCCATCTTTTACAGATGACAAAACAGAGACTTAGGGAGAGTAGCTCACTCTCTCAAGGTCACACAGCTAAGTGGTGGAGCCAGGTTTTGCATCCAGGTCTTAACGTCAAAGGTTGGCTCATTGTCTGCCTCATTTGAAAGCAGTCCTGATAATTTGGCATCTTTCATTTGTTCCTCCGAAGTGTATTAAATACTTTCTGTGAGGCCTTTCCAGGCTTAGGCACAGAGAAAGTGCTCAGTGATGTTTCAGAATCATAATTTCCAGGCTTGGGGTTTGGACCTGGGAATTCATAGATAAGTCCCAGAGGTTATTGTCCCCAGGGGAACTTACTGTGCCCTTCAGCAAATGTCAAGTTTGCTCCTTTTCTCGTTCACTTTAGTAATCATTTCCCACCCCCTTATAAATTAATGAGGTTTTGTTTTAGTGCTCCTTTGAATCAACTTAGATAGCCAACCTCCACTTAAAAAACAAAAGGAAATGAAAGTAATTATGTTTCAGTGATATATATTGGTTTTAAGTTTGCATTTATTACAGGGTTGTTTTGGACCATTTTAATGATATGAATATACATTTTATATATATATGGTTACAGTGCCAACTTTTAAGTGAAACTTAGGGCTGTAGGACTCTGCTGTAAATCAAGCTGTGATGAAAGTGGGTCCACCTGGGATTCCATTGTTGGGTCTTCAGTTGAGAACATGACAAAGGACAGGTTTACTGTAGAATATTCTGTTGAAACAGAACCCCAAAGGACAACTTTATAAGGAACTTTAAGATGAGGCATTGCTTAAAAGCTGTTCTCAGTTGAAACTGTCAGGTACAATACTGATATGGTTGTACAGTATATGAATAGTTTGCTTCAGTCTTACAGAATATTTTGCCAACTTCCTTATTTAAGGAAAGTGATTATTTTATAATAGCTGTTTTAGAGACTGCTGATTTATTTTTATGCGTCTTGAGTAATTAGGAATTTTCTTTTCCTTTTGCAAACTGGTAAAAATCTGTCCTCATTAACTAGGCAACCTTTGCTATTTAATACCACTTATACTACAATATGCACATTTCATAAAGTGACATGAGCTTAAATAAATAAAATTATATTGAAGAGTTTGAGGTTTTCATATTTTTGTGACTAAGTGTGTAAGCATGAACGTGTACAGGATACCATACTCTAGCAGCGTGGGGGAAGTAGCACTGCTTAGTGTAACTTTGTTAAATCTCTGAGTTTTCTGTGGCACAATCACCATGTTCTTTTCAGAACAATGAATAGAAGTACATTATCTTTTGGGTTTTTTCTGAGGTAAAGAAAAGCCATATATTGCAAGGCACTTCGGTTAATAAATTCATGTTTTGAACCAAGTCTATATTTCGTAATTATTTTTAAAAGTTATTCTCTCCACATGAGAATGAATTTTAGCATATATTTTTTCCTATAGGTGAATTAATATGCTTATTATGAATATTTGCTAATAAAATATTTAATGTCTAAGTGTTAATTGGAGCTTACTCTTAACCATTACTGCCACCACCACCCCACCAGCACTACTTCTGTTACTGCTATCATTTATTCTGTGCCTGACACTGTTTTAAGTGCTTTATAGATGATCTCTTTTCATCTCTTAACTCCCAAGAGGTAGGTACCATTACTGGCACCATTGTACAGATGAGGGAACTGAGACAGAGAGGGTTAGTACTTGTCAAGGTCCTATAGCGAGTTGTGGTCAAATGAGGATTGACCCCCCCATTGTGTTACAGAGCCAGTGCTCATAACCAGAAGACTGCAAATGCTTCTCCAAGGAAGGTCATTAAACTTAGTACAACTAACTTTCCAACAATTAAACAATAAGTCAGTTAATAATTAGGATATTCGTGAAACACAATAATACAAATTTTGACTGAGGAAAATGGCATTCCAGTTGTTGAGTCCCCTTCTTGTGATTCATTCTATTTCTGTTCAAATAACATTATAAACTTCTCTGCTTTTGTTTTTGGTGCATGGTCGCGTGTGCATCACATACTTATGAGACATCTCGTGAGCTGAGTTGGTAATCCATCCTCTGCTGTTCCACCGTGGGGTTTAGATGGTGCTCGGTGGCTCCTGATGTTCTTCGTGTTGCATATTTCCATAATGGCTGCTAGAGGCTTCATGGCGTGAATATAAACCTGGAGTCTGAGCTAGTTGATGCATAAGGAGCACCTTAAAGAGTGCCTTTGTTGTGCCTGTATGTTTACCAGCTGTGTGAGAGCCAGCAGGCTGCCATGGACTTTGGGAATCGGCACTTGCTATCCATTCATATCTAGCGCCATTTCTTTTCATGAGAAGACATGGTCTTCTGGGGAGCAGTCCCTGCACTTCCCTTGGACTGTGGCATATTCTGTCTCGGGTACTTCTCTGTTAATCCTGTGGGTGTTGCCGTTCCTTTTACCTGCAGCCTCTCGACGTCATTCCAGGTCCACTAGTGCTCTCTCCACTGCTGAATCTGTTGGGCAGTCAGGTGAACAAGTGCTAACTGCATGACTTGGCTTCTTCATATGTTCTAGTTTCACACTCATTTTAACATTTGTTTTCATCAGTGTTGGCTAGCACTTGGCATGTATGCACCTCATTTTTTTTCCTCCATTGTGCTTTTATTTTTTTAAGTTGTTGAATGTTTATGGTTCTGTTAATAGGCCATAGATGCTCTATAGCCTGTTGTACATCATTTCTCCAGTGTTCATATTTATGTTAAAACAAAACAAAAAAAGAGGGAAGTGCTTCTTCCCTCTTCCACTCCCTCTCCCAGGCAAACAACAACCCAAAATAGGTATTGTGAAGGGTCCCTGTGGGGAGATGGGGTATAGATGTCGTCAACAGAGTCTTTCATCTCCAAAGTCTTTGCTCCCGATAAAGTGTTGATTACCGATGTTAGTTATTAGCGTCAGGTTCTAGGTATTTGGAGGTCCTTTCAGTTACCACGTTTCAAATTATAGCATATGTAATTTCATATGTATGAAAATAAATGGATGGTCCTAAAACTTTTATGAAAAAGCAAGATCTCAATTCAGATAATTGAATCAGGCCAAAGGTAGCCTTTGCAGCCTGTGGACCCCAAATGTTCCATCTCAGCCCTGTTTGAACAACACCAAAAATCCCCTGGTTAGCCATTGGGGCAAAAAGAAAGCATACTGTAATGTATTGATTTGCCCGATTTAACTGGCATCATTTTGATATGCTAACAGCCCCTAATGACTACAGTTTTCTCAACTGACTAAGGCACAGTCTATTCAGTCGCAGACTGTTGATGGTGACAACTGTGACCAATTTACTCAGAGAGTTTCTCTGTTCCTCTAAATGAAGCCAGCTATTCATTTTATTATGTATACTCTGATCAGTACATTCCCCTGAAGTATGGGCCAGACTGAGGGCACAGTCATATGTATCCATCTCTTGGAAAATGGAGCTTCATAATAGTATCAGAGCAGTGAAAATGGAGAACACATTTTGGTCTGGTGAAACAGAAGGCTTATAGTTTTGCTTAGATCCAGACAAGCATTTCCCATTAAGATTTGAAATTCAAATTATCTATGATATAGATCAACTAATCTGCAGTCACTGTGTATGGCAAAGCTGTATGCATCTGGGAAGCACAAAATAATTGCATTGTTCTTACAGTTTTAATTTTGTGTCTGAAAGATCAGTACTATCCCTGGAGCAAGATTGCTGGCATGAGACCTACTTTTTTTTCTTTTTAAAATTTTTTTTAGATTCTGTTTTATTTAAGTTTATGCTGGGTAATTTTTAAATGGCTTATAACTGAATTACTTTCATTCTGTTACTCATAAATCCCTTACTATCTACCCTTTTTTAATGGAAAAAAAAAAAGACTTGAACAGAGACCATTTATAAAACTATGTGCACAATAAATCTCAAATTTACACTTGTTTCATATTTCAACTGATGATTTATATATATATAACTATCATTGTTTTGTGGTCTCTAGTTTATGTGGCACATTAAATCACCTTTTAAACATATTAACGACTAACATGACATTCAGTATGATCAGCAATTGCGTTAAAAAAGGGGATAGTGTGACATACAGTTTTTGTTTCTTTATAAAAATTCATGACTGTATAACTTTTTTGATTAGAAGTGTTTAAATATTTTTCTTTTTTATGGCTGTGGAAGGTATAATGTTTTGAAACTGACATTTTAAAAACTCTAAACAACACTGCACTCTTAAAGTTCACCAGTTTTGTAGGTGATGTTACATATCTAAAATTTTAAATATCTCATTTTATAGGAAAGATCAATTCATGTAAAACAGATACTAGCTTTCCTTTTACTGTAAATGCTTTATTACTAGAATATGGCTAATACAGAGATTTTCCTCATCCAAGCAGTGTCTTATTTGTTAACAAAAAGAAAGCATTTTTTATCTTACATCCTCTTCCCAGGTTTTTTATATATTAGCACTTTAAGTAAGAAACTTTTCCCAGTCGATGGTGATGATGCCTATGAAGTATAATTTGCACTGACTTTCTCCTGTGATAGTCTTAATCTCAGCACTTCTTAAGGAAGGCTGGTCAGCTGACTTAATGGGACTTCAAAAAGTTAGTCTTTATTGTCTATGATCATTAACAAGCTCAGAATAGTTGTTTGAACTGCTAAAATTTGTTTTAAATTCTTTGGATTCTGTCCATTTTGTTTACGTGTATAAAGAGTATCATTTAAGAATGTTTTGAGGGACTCAGGAAAAATTTATACTGATATTATCTGGATTATTAATATTTTGCAGTGAAAACAAAAAGTGCTAGCTTTTTGTCTTATTATTACAGAATTTTAATAAATTTATTTTTAATATCCTTTGGTGACAGACATCACGATGAACAAGTACGTAAAATTCATTGAGCTTAATTAAAGAAAAATTAAAACAATTGTGACACTAATGAAAGTTTGCACAGAGATCAATTTAATACATTTGTTTCAAATTTTAGCTTGATTACATATTGCGTTAGAACCCATTTGTCAAACAATAAAGCTTTCTGATTAGTTTGACCAAACATCAGGGCCACTTGCCTCTAAATCAAATCCTAAATAGATTAAAAGCCCGGTTCCCTTCTGTAAAAGTTCTCTCCCTTCCATGTCTCAACACTTTTCAAAACTAAAATAGCATTAAAGAACCATTTTACCTGTCAAGATGCTTTGTGGCACTGTAGTAAGAAATGTGAACAACTTAACATCTGCCACTGCTAAACCAGTCAAGTGTAGTTAACACTACAAGTGTAGTTAAAATTGGCTGGAGATTTTTCAGGCCAGTGGGAAGAGGCAGGAGCCCTTGCAAAGAACTGAGAAAATTAGAATTAAAGTGACATATCTTTTGCTTTTGTTTTTTTAAATAGACCGATTCGGGCTTGGCCAGGCAGGAAGAATACCTGGTTCTGTAAATGCCATGCGAGTTTTGAGCACAAGTACCGATCTTGAAGCTGCTGTTGCTGATGCTTTGGTAAGAGTCACAGTGTGTGTAGCGTCTCTTTAAATTACTCATCCACATTTTTCTGTCTTCACAGGAAATTGCCTCCAAATCGGGTTACTAAATCATCTTTGACACCCTTTAAAATTGTGTAAATTTATATTATTATCACTTTCTTCTTAGACTTTTATCTCTCTACATAGGTGAATATTGGCCTTACAAAAAAATATTAGCATCAAGAATTTCTTCTGTATTCCTCAGTATCAAGGAATTTTTGATGACATTGGGCTTCTCTGATGTCATTGGGCTTCTTTTTTTTGTCTTTTTATCCATGTTTTTTTCCAGCATTTGTGTTTTCCATTCTGTTGCTTCTATTGCTTTACAGGCTTTGATGGCATAGCCTAAACATATCATTATAATAATAGGTAATAAAGTTTGTGGTTTGAAAGTCTTGCATTTATTTCATTACCTCACTAGTTGCATATGATTTTTTGTTTATTTGATTTTTTTTTTTTTAAATGGGGCCTTAAGTCATCATTTAAGGAAACTTTCCCAGGTTTTAAGATGAGCTCTTTGAGGATATGAAGCACTGGTGGAATGTCTTTTTGCATCATTATAATGTAGTAGCTAAAAATCCATATTAAGTGATTAGAGATCCTTAAATTTGTGGTTATAGCAAAAAGTTCCTTGGTAGAATCAGCTTGTGGTCACATTGCTTTTTAAGATGCATTTCAGCTGGTAGTAACACAGCCTCTTGCATATTCTGGTTTATGTGCTCAGCATTTAAAATAGATATTCTTTTGAACTGTCTGATCTCTGGCCTTGCTTGTGCTGTTTTAAGATTTATCCTTTTCTAAGGAAAAAAGTATTATAATACCTTGCTTTCAGACCCTGAAGTTTTAAATCCAGCCATGGTTCATCTCATCAAAATTTTATAGTCTGTGGCCACAGAGTTTCTAACTTTCATCTCTTCCTGTCTCTCCCTCACTTATTCTTGCTCAGTCAGATCTTTTTGCAAGCATCTGTGAGCAAGCAGGTTGCCGCTCTCATAATGCTTTCCCTGTAAGCAAGGGCTTTCTGGCCAGCTCTATTCATCAGCCTTATATGTAGAAGGGCCTTTTTTCCTAGTAGGTACTGGAGTTCAGGATAACTGCTCTAACCACGACTTTAATTTAAGAGTCACGAGCTGGGACATAATTCTGTGAAGCTATTTTTCTCCAAGGTGCAGGATTTAGAATCTGTCTCTTATTCATTTAGAGACCCTAGGAAGGTGGAGGTCAGAGGGGTGGGAAACGATGGATGTGCAAAATCCTTAGTTAAATGGGACTTCCAGTTAAGGCGGAGGAGTTTCTTAGTTCTTTAAAGAACTGTGTAAGGGACTGTGTACAAAGTTCTGGGAGGCAGAATGGGACTTGGGAGTTAGAGCTGTGTCTTTACTTGACTTGGGCTTTTCTCTGAGCTCTAGCTCCCCTAATACTCATGCTGTCCTTACTGCTTTTTCTCCAAACTGCTTGGTTTCTCCGAGTGACCTGCTTCAGAAGAGAAAGCGCAGGAATGGTACACAGTCCTTACCTCACAGAATAGAAGCCCCAGGGCAGACAGGCTCTATCATAGAAATAGACAACAGAATTAATGGTGACTTTAGAGATGTATCTCAGTGGTATGTGAAGAGTTTTAGCAAAGAATTGTAGCATGTGCTGGAAGGTCTTAGAAGAGGTGTAGGAGGGTTAGGAAATGCCATTGTGAAAGCATTCTTTATTATTATTCGCTTGATGTGAATCGCTTGCTAACCTGTATTTTGGTTTGCTAAGATATGTTTTGCTGTACACTTTTGTTGCAAGAACGATCCCCACATATGCTTCTGACATAATTCTCTATGCTTTTTCCCCATCCTCAATATTTTCCTGCCTACAGCTGTTAGGAGACTCCAGGAGCAAGGTACCAGTGCTTTAACTTTTGTTTTACAACTTTATTTTTTCTGTTGCGAGTATATTTCCTTTAGAAGCTAGTGAAAGCAACGAAAAATACCGTGTTGTTTAGAAGTTTTGGTCTGAATTATGATATTGTTATATCTGGTGAAGCTTTCGTTAGTGATGGAATCAGTCATCTCTCACATTTGTTTTAGTATTTATTTTGAATGTCAAGCTCTGCTCCTTCTATTAGTGTTTATTTTATTTATTAACCCAGATTGTGTCCACTCTTATGTCATCTTTATTTCATGAATGGATTTATTTAACATTTTTCTTATTTTAGGACTCTAGTTTACGTATAAGATGATGATATAATTTATCATCCTAACAAGGATTCATTTGAGAGTAAAAGGAGGTGCTCTTAGTAATTATGCTGGACAGTAAGCATGAGGCAGAACTTTGCTGAGCAAGTTGTGATGAATGTACAAGCCATATTATTAGGAAATTACATTTGTATGGTTTAAGTCAATAACTATTTGTTTTACTCTTAGAAAAATTGTATTGTATCAATTTTATCAATTTTATGTAGCTCTTGCTGTATTATTTCTGGGTTTAATTTACAGTTTTCTATGCAGGGTAAGAGAAATGAATGAAGCAGATAGTATAGTCTACAGGAAGCCTGTTTGTGTTGTAAAACTTAAGTAAGTCCTTAATAAAAGTGGCTCAGATAATTTAAGAATCCTTTTACATAGGATACTCTGCCACTGATGTTTCAGTTTCAGACTTTCTTAAGGAAGCATGAATACTGAAACAAATTTCCCAATAGACCATGCTCGAGATATATTGCTTCTGGTTGGGAAGGGGCTGGTGTGCCCGCATGCTAGCAATGTGTCAGATGCTGAGCCAGGTTATTTAACATATAATGCCACTTATTCCTCACAACAAGCTTGTGAGAGGTCTAATTATCATCATCTTCAAAGGTGGGGAAGCTGAAACACAAGGATTAGGAGGCCTTCCAAAGTCACATAACCAGTCAGTGGTGGCAGCAGGATTACAGCCAACGTTTGTCTGACTGAAAAGTCCACTCACTAGACTAGAACCATACTCTTTCCTCTCTGCTACGGATTGCTCTGCTTATTACACCTATTGGAAGTCTGCTTTTCTGTTTTTATTTCCCTAATCTGTAAGCACAGGGAAAGTGTGATGCGTTCGCCTTATGTGTGTGTGTCTTTCTTTTTACGTTTAACTTTTTGTTGTTGATTTTGTTTGCTGTGACTCATGGTTATTTCACCCTTCCATTTCTTCCTCTATCACCCCAATCCCTCATTGGATCTGGCAGAAGAAGCCCGTGAGGAGGAGATATGAGCCATATGGGATGTATTCTGATGATGATGCCAACAGCGATGCTTCGAGTGTCTGCTCTGAGCGCTCATATGGTTCCAGGAACGGTGGCATTCCCCATTATCTGCGGCAGACCGAGGATGTAGCAGAAGTTCTCAACCACTGTGCCAGTTCAAACTGGTCAGAGAGGAAAGAAGGGCTTCTAGGCCTGCAGAACTTACTGAAGAGCCAAAGAACACTTAGGTGAGGACAAGAGGCCAAGGCTGTGAGCTAAGTTTGTGTCCCACATTATACTCATCAGGGCCTTAACTGGATTCCCTGTCACCTGTGGAGTCCTCATGAAGCTCCAGGCGCTGGGGCAGGCACTAAAGGGGCTAAGACGACTAAGACCTAGACTTTGCCTTCCAGAGACTTTGAAATAGCTGGCAAATACTCTGTAATTTATTAGGTTTATAAAACATTTGGTTCACTTATGGTTCACATTTGTCAAGTAGATGTTATTTGAGAAGTCTTGGTATAGTTTGCAATTTAGGTAAAAAATAAAACAACCCTGCAGATTGGTACGGTTCATTACACTTTAGGATTGTGAGTAAAATGATAGCAGTCTCAGTCTACAGTTTTTTAATACACATATGCATATATATAGCTTATAAATATGCATAGTAAACAGGTACTAAAATGGATTCTCCAAAATAGTAACGGTATTATTTTTGCTTTTTTCTTTATGTTTCTGTATTTCACAAATTTTCTAAAATGAGCGTGTATTGCACATACCAAAAAGGTGTGTGTTTATACCATATTTCATCAAATCTAAGGCATCATTGACACATTTTTATTTTATATCCCTCTAAAAAAAATGCTGCTTATTAAACCATGACAGTACTAGTTGTCATTGATTGTAAGATGAATCTCAAAATTACAGAGATACTAAAATGTGAAAAAGTGGACAACTTAGAATCCATGAAATATGGTGTATTCTATTATTTTGATAATTATTTTTAAGATAAATTGTGAGACTGGATACGTTTATGGTCGTAGATGGGTTCTGCAAAGCTAAGTGAGCATTGACTGATGAATCACTGTGCAGTAAGTGTGGCTCTCCAGTCTCAGTCTCCCCTGCTCTCTTCGTGCCTGCCCGCTTTCCCCCATTATTCCATTCTGGTCTTGAGGGTGTCACAAGAAGTTTGTCATATGCCTTTTGAAGTGCAGGTAGCCTCTGACATTCTAGTGATCTTTAAAAAAACAAAATGAGGATGATTTGTCGTGATTATTTTTCAAGAATCTCTTTAATTCTGGCAGTCTCGGTTTCTTGTTCTTAGTGTTTGCCAAGTATCCATTGAATAGTCTCTAGAAATCTATTGATTAACATTGATTTAATCAGGATTGCATGGTTGGTGATGATAAAGGATCATTGAACCAACTGTCTCATCTGTGTGAGGAGAGGGATTACTCAGGTCTGAGTTGGGGAAGAGGTGACATTTCTAATCAAGCCTTGAAGTAAAATGAGACTCGGTAGCGCAGTTAAGGATAAGAAAAGCAAAGGGGCACTCGTAAGAAATGAGTGTTTGCTTTGTCTCACGCTCAGCTGAGGCAGGATGTGGACTCTGCTTTCATCCTCTCAGCAGCTGTGTGAGGGAGCTCTTAGCCTTGTTGGACTGGTGTGGATGGAAAGGTGTCACAGTCCTTTGTCTGCAACAGAACTGAGGTGAAAATCTACGTCTGTCTGACTCCAAAACGTGCTTTTCCTAGTGTATCTCATTGCCTTTCACCTGTGGCAGGTGGAAAACAGACCTGGAATGAAATGAACAGGATTTAGCTCATGGCTTTGCCACTTCCAAATATGTGAACTTAGGTGATCACTCTCTGAGATTCAGTTTCCTCATTTAAAAATGAGAACAAAACTATCATGATTTTATATTCCTATTTAATGTCATCATGAATTAAATGAGATAATTCATTTGTGAAAAAAACTTTGTTATATAAAAATTATATAAAGCTTACGTAGTTGACAAATAAAAGGGTTTTTAAAAGCGAAGCTATAAATAATGTGTTGACTTACTAAGTTTTTTAAGTTCATTTGTTTCCATCTAATTTTCTTTAGTCGAGTAGAATTGAAAAGATTGTGTGAGATCTTCACCCGAATGTTTGCTGACCCTCATAGCAAGGTGAGTCTGGCAGTCATGCTCTTACGTCTTCCTCTCTGCATGCCTCTGTGAGCTGTATAATGTCCTACTGCTGAGTGAGAGAGAGTTCCCCAAAGTGCAGTTTAGACCTTACAGATTTAACACTAATTTCAGCAATAGTTTGTTACATCTTTTAAAAACGGAATTCTCAGAAACTTCAAATGTCCATAAAACTTTAAGTTAAATAAAGTGCATTTCAAGTAAAAGTTATGGAGAGAATCAAACGTAGTTCGTTCATTCAGCAGATGTTTTTGGGTACCTCATGTTAGCCAAACAGTGGGCTAGGTGCTAGACTGTAACATTGTATTGTAACATAGTGCCTTTTTTTAAAAGTTGCAGTAATGAAGAAAATAATCAAGTATATAATTATTTGTTTATATCCCATGTGGGATTTGTCTATATAGAACAGGATAGAAAAATGGAAGCATTATGTAATGAATTTATTGGAAAACCAGGTTATTTCTCCAAATAGAATTTTGCTGTCCCCAAGAACTTGCTGGATGGTGGCCACTTAGCTGGTGCCCACACTTTCTCGGGCCCAAGGAGAGCCCTGAGCCTGAGGACTGTCTTTTTGACAAAGGAATCCCTGCCGAGGGGAAAACACCCAGGCATGAGGGACAAGGCCTTTTCTAGCAGTGCTGCTGAGACAGGGACCCTTTACAAACGTTTACTTGGAGTGTAGATTTTAAGTAAATACATTTGTTTTAGAGGAAGCCTTTAGAGACTGTTAGATGCTTTTAAAGAGTGAAAACGGGATGACGATATCAGGAAAGTTAAAGAGTGGATTAAGGACAGAAACTAAACTGTAGAAATTGACAGAACCTTAATCAGAATAAGCAAATCTTAAAAGCTTGACATGTAGGATTTAACTATCTTGTGCTGCAGTTTTCCTATTAAAAATGATCTCTTCTAAAGCTTACTGGGAGAAAGACACCTGTGATGGCCAGAAAGTCCAGCCAGTTATTGTGAGCTCCCTTCTTTTGCTACCCTTTCTTCTTCATAGGAATTATCCTTGAAGTGTCAAACATCTATCCATCCATCCAATCATTCAACGTTTACCGAGTACCCACTCTGGGCTAGGGATACAGAAAACAGCTAATGACCCCTGCCTTTTGAGATGCTCACGGGAGGCATAGGAGAATGAATGCAGGGGCTCTCCCCCTTTTTTGGCAACAGTTCTCCTCAGTATGAGTCTTGAAGCATGTCTTAAAGTTCCTCTTGTGACCCTCACAGCAAGGTTAACATTAACAATATTAATAAAATCCAAGAAAGGTTGAGTTTGAGGGCCATGTAGATATCCAACCATGTAATTATCAAGATTTTTCTTGAAGATAGTGTTAAAAGCAGCAAGATTTAAAGAATAAGAATAAGGTTCGTAAGATTTATAGCATAAGGGATGTTAGATGGTTTTGGACATTGATGAAATTTCTGTTACCTGTCACCTCTAGATTGCTGATTCAGAACCAGAATGTGAGGATAAAGAAGGAAATTTGTTTCCATCAGAAGGCTCTTGTACAGTGAGTTTGCAGGTCTCAGTTTAGTTCGTATTTGCTAGCTGCCTCTGAGCTGAGCCAGGAATCCCACAGCTGGGGCTCACTGACTCTTTTCATAGCTATCTCACGGGAGACCCCTGGTGGTTAATAGTTGCTGTGCTAGAACTGAGTAGGTATGTGATAGCTGGGTTGTCCCAGGAGAGCAAGACTCCTTAACCAAGTAGGGGTACAGTGCTGCTTCTCTCTGAAATCCGCTCAGGGGTGTTCCAGTGTCTGTGGTCTGTCGCACCTTAGACAGCAGTAGCGATTACACAGCGGCAGGGGAATTATGTGAGCCGCCAGTGTCTTTTATCCTAAGCCGTAGTCTTTTATAAAGATTCTTATGCCTTTTGTAAAACCTTTTTATAAAGATACTACTTTATAATATCTGAATTGGCTTGTATCAAAATAGATGACTAAAATAAAAAGCAGTATATACAGAGGGGTTTTCCCCTCATCTTATAATAGTATTTGTTGAATGCAAGATAATGAACAATAATAGTATAGAATTATGATGGTGAAAAGATTTTTTTTTAATGAAAGAAATAAAGAAAAGCCTCCAGGATTACACTGATATTTTTCATCCAAGTTAATTTCTCTCTGTACTGAATTTTAAAGGCATATCGAGGGAGGGGAGAATATTTTATCAGTTTGCAGCTTTTCAGGTCTCTTTAGAAACTGCATGAAAATGGTATTAATTCACTGTGGACTAACATGGAATTTGTTTTGTTGCATGACCTGGTTTGCTGTGGAATTCACAACAGAGAGTAAGTTCCAATCTTTTTTTCTTTATCTATTTTCTTTAATACATTTGCCTTCTATAATATGACTAGGTGTTAACAATGTTAACCTAAGTTATGAGAGTCTGGGCAAAGCCAGTATGGGCAAATTTACTGTTTTGGAGACTTTGGAGGAAATTAAAGGTAAATGTGTGAAATATTTGGTTTTCATTTGTGTCTAGGTTTTCAGCATGTTTTTGGAGACTCTTGTGGATTTTATAATAATTCATAAGGATGACTTGCAAGACTGGCTTTTTGTTCTTCTCACACAATTACTTAAGAAAATGGGTGCAGATTTACTTGGATCTGTGCAAGCAAAAGTTCAGAAGGCTCTAGATGTCACAAGGTAAGTGTTTAGGGGTTAGACAATTTTTTTCCCAGCTTTTGAGGTATAATTGACATATAATGTTCTGTAAATTAACACGTTAGTTAACACATCCTTCACCTCACATAATTACCATTTTTTTGTTGTTGCCGTGGTGAGAACATTAAGATCTATTCTCTTAGCAACTTTCAGGTGTCCAATACAGTATTGTTAATTATAGTCACCATACTATACATTAGATCCCTCAGAACTTATTCATGTTATAACTGGAAGTTTGTACCCTTTGACCAACATCTTCCATTTCCCCCACCCCTCAGCCCCTGGTAACCACCATTCTGCTCTATTTCTTTGAGTTTGGCTTTCTTTGTTTTCTTAAGATTCCACATATAAGCCAGATCATATGGTACTTGTCTTTTTCTGTCTGGCTTATTTCACTTAGCACACTGCCTTTGGGGTTCATCCATGTTGTCACAAGTGGCATAATTGCCTTCTTTTTCATAACTGAATAATATTCCGTTGGTTATATACACCACGTTTCCATCTTGGCTGTTGCAAATAACGCTACACTAAACATGGGATTAGATATCTCTTTGAGATAATGATTTCATTTGCTTTGGATATATGCTCAGAAGTGAAATTGCGGGATCTTATGGTAGTTTATTTTTAATTTTTCGAGGAACCTCCGTGCTGTTTTCCAGAGTGCCTGTACCAATTTACGTTCCTGCCAACATTGTATGAAGGTTCCCTTTTCTTCACACCTTCACCAAGACTTATCTCTTGTCTTTTTGAGAATAGCTATTCTTACAGGCATGAGATGATATCTCATTGTAGTTTTGCTTTGCCTTTCCCTGGTGATTAGTGATTTTGAGCACCTTTTTATATACTTGTTGGCCATTTATATGTTATCTTTGGGAAAGTGTCTGTCTATTCAGGGGGCTACACCTTTTTGACATTCTAAGACTGTTGTAGGTGGTTTCTTGCCATTCTTTTCTTTTACCCATGGTTTTTGTCACCCGCTTGAATATCTACTCTCTTACTCAGTTCCCACATTCTCTTGTTAACGTATTTGTTGAAATGTCCCACGAATCCGTGAGATGAAATACCCTTATCTTCCTTGAGTTGGCATTATTTTTGTGAATGCCTAAGATAAATGTAAAGCTTTGAAAATTGATTCTCTTCTCTTTAAAAATCACTTTAGAATATTTATTTACATTCTTCTGAAGACCTCAGTATTTTTAATACTTCAACTTCTTATAAGTCACACAAGAAGTTTTTCTATCTATGATGATATCTTCTATGTATGATGTAGGGTTCCCATTCATTCAGAAACAGTCTCTACTGATAATTCATTGGCTCAGAGATTGATATCACGCTTACTGTAGTTGTAACCCTTCTAGCTGTGATGAGAAAAGAAAAGCTGCCAAGACTCAGAGAAGTGTGAAAAGCTAACTGTATGCTGTCATTATTTAGAAACCTCTTAGCTGTTGCTTGGGCAATTGTAAGTCCTCAACATAGAAGTATTAGCATTAAGTGATCTCAAAAGACACTTTGCAATAATGTCTTGGTTGTGTTTTGGTGGAAGATAGAGGCGAATGTGCCAGATCAATGACTTTTTAAAAGGATAAATAAATGACTCCTGGTCACTCAGAAAATTATCATCAGCGCAGTAACTTTTATATGACCCAGTTACTGCAAACTGGAATATTACTAGGTATCATAGGATTTTCAGAATGGAAGGACGTTTCTCATTTTATTAGAAAGCAGAGACTTTGACTTGACTTGCCCAGAGTTCCATTCGCGTCAGTGGCGTTCTGGAAGCTAGAATCCAGGATTGCTGATCATTGCTCTGGTGCCTGTTCCTATTACTGCAGGCTGGCCTGTGGTCTTGCATCTTCCTCTCCTGCAGGAGAGTGTGGATATTATTAGTGCCTTTTCTTTCTTCTCTGGCTGCCTCTGCTGACAGTAGCATACCCTGCCCTGCCATCAGCCCCGATGTGTGCATCTATTAGGTGTCTCTGACTTCCAACCATCAGTTTGTTCCTCTACACTATAGTGCCAACTGTATTTCACTGCCATAGAATTTTATTATTCAAATAGATTTCCCTTTTCATTTTCAGTGAACTCAATGTAATATAGTATATTTGCAATAAGGCTTTCAAACACTGTTCCTCCTTTGGATGGTTAAGTTCAGTGGAATAAGGGAACATTCCTATACACCAGTATAGTATACCGATGGATTTGTAAAGGTTTAGCCAGGGGTTGACTAGAGGGGCTAGGCTGACCCAGCTGATAATAAATGAGTGAAGTAGATAGGAGAGAAGGTTATGTGATGGGCTGGAGAGCTGCAGTCAGTTGTGGCCATGTTGGGATGTGGGCCCAGTGGTACCAGACTTTTCAATAAAGGTCAGCAATGTGGATTAAGGCAACACGTTTAAGGTTTATTTTTAATGACACTTTGAAAGCCAAATCAAACATTTGTGAGCCAGACTTGGTTTATAGCTGGCTTGCTTTATTTAGGTGAATTTATGAATGGCAAGGTACATTTCAGATTTTTAGGGATGGTGGCAATATCTTATGTTTAAACTTTGGTGATTAAGGAAAACAATTCTGCCCTCATGTTAATTTTTCTGGATGCCTCTTTCCTTCAAGAATCCCATTCTTGGGGCCAGCCCTGTGGCTGAGTGGTTAAGTGCACACACTCCTCTTTGGAGGCCCAGGGTTTCACTGGTTCGGATCCTGGGTGCAGACATGGCACCACTCGTCAGGCCACGCTGAGGCAGCATCCCGCATGTCACAACTAGAAGGACCCACAACTAAAATGTACAACTGTGTACTGGGGGGACTTGGGGAGAAAAAGCAGAAGAAAAGGAAAAAAAGAATCCCATCCTCAGTCGATTTGGTCTAAGTCGCTAAAGCATATTCCTTATTCCAGTTTTCTCAGCAGCTGAGCTGTAGAGCTGCTTAAGCTTGTGGGTTAGTCAGTGAGTACTGAGGGAGTCTCAGAGATGGCTGAGAGCTGTTCCTCAGATAGTAGACCTGATTGTGAATCTGCCTGTTTCCTTTGCCTGTGCTTAACAGCAGGACACGTTTCTAGGTTAAATACACCAGTCACTTAAATGTATTCTCCTTTCTCCCATTGCTGTAGAAGAAAGGAGAAGCATTTTGTGTGTGGTTTGTTGACGTTGTTTCTTTAGTTTTTAGCCAGAATGAGTCACTTAAATCATGTATACTAGATTGTTGCTTCCAGAAGTGGTCTTCATAGCTTCCTGGATACAAATAGATGGGGGAGAAAAGGATGTGTTATTGGGTCAAGTTTACTTTTTATTAGTACTTATAATGATGGTAACACCAGTACCTAGTATGTGCAGTACACTTTATATTTTTCTTGAATTATTTCGTTTAAATTTTATATCAGTCTTATCATTTTATAGATTTGATCCTGCGTGCCTGTTCTTCTTGCTATAGTTTTGTAGATTGGAAAGAGTCTCTAAGAGAGTCCAAAGAAAGCAATGCAATCACTCAGCTTCAATTGTAATAGATGTTTAGATTGCATTATCTTTCTTGTTAGTAATGAAGGGTACGTCTGAGTTATCCACATGGGCTCCATTATGTGATTTGAAACTAATACTAGTAATTGCAGCATTTTAAGGGAGAGAGAACTGACCAAGAGCCCTCAGGGTTACTCATTTGGATCAAAGGTATGAGATGACTACGAGAAATGGGATCCGAACAGGCAAGAAATGGAGCAGGAGAGGGACTCCTAGGGCCCCAGGCTTCTCTGTCTGTTTTGTAGCTGGATGGGGAGATGGGGGATTTTTCTGACAGAGAATCCTACAGGCGCTCTTCTGTGGTGACTGTAGAAAACAGAGATCATAAGCAGTTACCCAGCTAGGACCAAGGAGGACAATGCAGTGAGCTTGAGCAAGGTCAGCTGTGAGCAGCCGAGTCAGCATGTAAAACTAAGATTTGGGAATTGGAAGTATTTTTTTGTGTGTAAGCAATATTCGTAAAGGTAGCTGGAGAGAAGATGAGCAGATCCCTAGCAGGCAGGTAGGAGTCTCTTCCCTAGTTTATTGCTTGCTCTTAATTTTTCAAATAGCACACTCAGGGTAAGTGTAGCATATGTTTTGGGACTTGTAACAAGATTTCTCTGTTTTCTAAATTTTCTGTATAATGTATATTACTTTAGTATTTAAATAAAATGAAAAGTACTGTTTAAAAAATGTGAACAGGCTTGCTTTTACTTACATTAGAGTAATCTACAACAGTATATTTTTGTTTCTTATATGGTTTTACATTATTTTTTGTAGTAAATCTTTTAAAAACAGCGCTTTTTTCTTTTTTTAAACCTAGGGACTCCTTTCCATTTGATCAACAATTTAACATTTTGATGAGATTTATTGTGGATCAAACACAAACTCCTAACCTCAAGGTTGGTAATTATTTGTCATTACAGTGCAACCTCTAGAAGTCAACTGTGCTGCAAATTTGCTTTTTTATACATGATTTATATTTGGCTATTATGAATAAATCTACTGTGAGCATTCTTTTACAACTCTTTATAGATGTGTTTCCATTTCTCTTCATTTAGTACCTAGTAGAGAAGTTGCTGGTTTATTGGGTAGGTTTATGTTTAACTTTATTTAAACTGCTCAGATGGTTGTACCATATTATATTCCTACCAGCAATGTATGGGAGCTCCAAGTGTTTCATATCCTTACCAACATTTGGGTATTATTACTATTTTTTACAATTAATATTTAAACTAGAAAATTCTGATGTGTTGAGATGGGTATCTTATTGGAATGTTTTTAATATTAACATTCTAACACATGAAAATTAGTTATATATTTTTGAAACTCATACTTGTAATAACAAAGCTAAATTTGAGGGAGGATGCGTGTCAATTTGAATTAGGTCATATACATCATCTATTGTTTGATTATTAACTTTTGTTGGAATTTTAGGATAGGCCCAATAAATAATTACCCTTTTCTCCTGAGGTCAAAACTACTTGAGACATCAATGGAGAAGTTAGGACAGAATATCAGCTTAATTACTGAAAATGCTACCTTGCAAGACATGACCTAGGGTGGCTAAAAAACAAAACTAAATACAGAGTTGTACTTGTGCCCCCTTCCCAGCCCCCCCACCCACAGTCAATGGCAGAGCTGGAAATCCCACAACCTCCCCATGTGACTGCTGCCCTGTAGGTATCTTGCAGCATACGTGAATTGCAGAGCACGCCTTCTTTGTAGGCACGACAATCTAAAAATGAAGAGGATTAAGCTGCATGTCACTCTTCTTGTTCCCAAATTTACCTGTCAGTTATTTCATGCTTTTTTCCTGATGGATGTTACTCCATATGGACACATAAATCCAGGAGAAAGGAGGTGTCCCCTGAGTAGTCTTTATTTTTCTGTGATCACTGGTTAAGAATTCTATTCAAAGATTCATAAAATTTGCTTAATGTTTATAATAATTGGATCTTTCAGGTCAAAGTTGCAATCCTGAAGTACATTGAGTCTCTTGCCAGGCAGATGGATCCGACAGATTTTGTAAACTCTAGTGAGACAAGGCTTGCTGTTTCTAGAATTATAACCTGGACAACAGAACCAAAGAGTTCAGACGTGAGAAAGGTATGTCCAAGAGAGCCAAAGTACAGCTTTAATTACAAACTGTCCTTAGGCATGTGTTAGAAAAAGAAATTTATTTAGAAAGATGCAAACCACCCCACGCAGCTACATGCAAGCCTTTATCACTCCTTTTCTCTGAAAACTAAGATTTTGCTCATCTCCATTTCTTCTCTCTTCAGATCCTCCCAGTTCCAGTCTTTGAATATCAAAACGAAAATCTGAAATCTTATATGATCAGTTCATGGTTTTCTTAGGCATCTATTTTATATGTTTTTTAATGTGAAAGCACTAGTGGTGTAGTGTCTCTTACAAGGACATTGATTTTCCTTATATCAGTTTTGTGACATGTACTTTTGAAGATGGAATTGCAGATCTAAGGCCACCTGGCCATAAGGTCACTAATAACAAAGTGTGGTTTAGAGTTTGTGAAGATATAATGAGTTCTTGAATTTAACAAGAGCAAAAAAACTTCTGATTATGTACCACACTTAGAACATATTCTCTTTGGTTTGGGGATTGAGGTGCAGAGGTAGAATTCCGATTTTTGAGACACCCTAAAACCAAGGTGTTTGTTGTTTTGTTGGTTTTTTAATTAGCTGAAGAGAAAGATTTGCTGCTTTCTTCTGAAATGGCACATTGAGAGGCATATAACATAGTAAGGAGCACAGGATAGTATTATTTCTATTACTAGGGAGTATTCTGCCTTAGGACTATTACGAAGATTAGTTAATATATATAAAGCATTTAATTGATTCCTGACACATTATAAGTACACAAGTACAAGTTATTATTGTGTTTGGTGTTTCTGTTATTCTCTTCCTGTCAGTGTCATGTTCTTCTATGCTTGCGTTTCACACGTGACCATTATTCTTTTACTTTATATATAAACTAGCTAGCCTTTATAAAGTGCTTTTAAAAGCCAGATTTTTCAGTTCTGCTTTCAGACTAAAAGTACTTGATTTTGGTTATTGTGTATAATCACGAACCTCCCATGTTTTTTCTGTACTGTAATACTCCTTCCACAGTCATCCCTACCAATGTAGTCCTTTGGCCTTGGAGCAGAGTTGATAATGTGGACCACTTGTGTCCAGGGAGGGAAGAAGGAATGGATGTTCCAAGCAGTAGTTAGCAAGGTTGGTATATTTCCAAGTGCAGATGAACACTTAGCTCCTCTAATGGAGCTCAAGCAGGGGAACCAGAGTTAGCTGAGAGATTTCTTTGGAAGGATCATAGTTGATATAGTTCTGGCATCCGTTGTAGAGTAATAAACTAACTTGTCCAAGGTCAAAGGAACAAGGACAAATCTTATTAAACCACTCATTGAAAATTATTGTTCTCATATTAACTAATATTTTTGATTCATGATCCTTTTTTAGAATTTCTCAACACTTATCAAAAGAGCATTTCACTGGCAACCTTTAGTTTAACCATTAAGCCAGTTTTGGATTAGGGAGGTGCAGTGGGAGGTGGTTGAATGGTTTGTTTTATTTGAACTTCAGAAACAGATATTTCTGTTACAATTTTCAAGGTCACATGATCAACCAAGAAATACAAAAGCCTTAAGTACGGCTTTCTATCTTTAGTCATAACATGTAAATGTGTGTATGTCTATGTATGTGCTTTTGTAATTGAATGTTACTTAAGTTTTCCCTCCTGTGGGGCTGAAATAGATTTTAGACATGCACATTACTATGATTGGGGCCTGTATGGGAGCGACTAACTTTGATCATATTTGTCCACTTTCTTTGGACATGCACATTAATGCACTAAAGATACCCTTACCTGTCTATTTTAAATAATCTTTCATTTGCAGAGTTATTAAAATTTTCTATCAGGTGCTAGGGAAATCTTGATGATTTAAAAGCAGTTTGTGATCATGAAACAAGTTCTCTGGGTGGGTCCTGCTTTAATTTCTTTAGATTTGGCTGAGTTATTTTCTAAATACTAGAAGAGCCCATCAGTCAGAAATCCATGCAGTAAATTCTCACATTGGCCCCATCCTTGGAGACTATGAATTTTATGCAAACAATACTTGGGGAGTTTGCAGACAGTGTAATTCATTCTCCCTATCTATGTGATCACATTTGGGAAATCACTTTAGAAACACTTTAAGCTGCTAAAACTCTGATTTGTTGACTTTAGCATTTTAATACTTTGTTTCCCTTTTTATCTCAGTGTTTTGGGGTGTTTCATATTGGAGAGAGAGGGGTATTTAAATATTTAAGATGTTTTGAAAAGGAGGGATTCAGAAGCACAAGCGAAACCAGAACACAAGCCAGTCACCAGTGAAGTGTGCTCACCAGGCTGAAACTGATGGGGCCTGGATGGAAAAGCCGCACGGGCTGTCACTGGCTTGCTTTATTCCAGAAGGAAGCTTTCTCATTTTCTAAGTGTGGGAGTTCTGACTAGTGTTGCTCAAACGAAACAGAAGTCCACTAGACCTTTCTTAATGCACTGTGTTTGTGTTAAGATAATGTATCAATGGTAGAAAGTTTGACCTCTATTTGACTGCTGCCCTCTGCCACTTGTTTAGCAGTGTGAGCAAGTAATTTAACCTGTGAATTCTTGTTTATTATTTGTAAGATGAGAAGAGTAACACTTGCCTCAAGCATTGTTAGGAGGACTAATTGCAATAAAGTATATAAAAATATAGGTAAACATTACTTCCTTTGCTGTTGTAGCTCCTGCTATTATTGTTTTGAAGGCTGTTTTTGTTTTGCTCTGCTGCTCTTTGTGGAATAAATTGAGAACCAAATTTTTTCCAGTATTAGGAAATTTTTTTTCCCACCAATCAAAAGGAATGTGGTAATGACAATGGAATTTTTAATGGTATATTTATGTTTTTAGGATCAGAGTCCCTGTATGTTTGCTGCTTCTATGTGATTCTCTAACATTTAGCACCTGCTTTTGTCAGGTGAAATAATAGATTTAGCCTCCAAATGTTGTTTTGAGAAATGTAGGAAATGAAGACCTGGCAAAAAAACCTAGAAAGTATAAAGATGTTGTTGCCTGGATCAGGAAAGTATATAAATAGCCTTCAGAAGTTGAAATTTCTAATTGAAAAATCTCTTATTATAGATAGGCAGCATGGCCTAATCTAAAAGCTAAGAATTTTTTCATCAAATAAGATCTCAGTTAATCTCAGCTTAACTATGCCTGCGTTTTTCAAGTCTCGTTTTGACTTCTTTGATCTTCCATTTCATCACATAAAGCAAGAATACGACTATTTCCAGGAATGGTTATGATTATTAAGGTCCTAGCACATGAGTGAGGTTTGAAACTGGTAGTTACTATTATTTATTATTAGCATTCTTAGTTTTAGAGTATGTTTACCTAGACGGCTTCATAAAAGAATCCAAGCACTTCTACAGCTTACAAATAGCCATGGTTTAAGTACTTGCTTCTTCCTCTGATCAAATCCTCCACCTTTCCTGTTTGTCAGTCCCCGCTTCAGCGTAGTCGAGTAGGTGAGGATTTCCCCACTAGGGCAGCTTCATCCTGCTCTGGGCCTGGAGAAGGAAACTTGGAAGAAAATTGTAAACAGGTAGATTTAAAACTGTGTACTGATTTGAAAAAAGACACTTCGCTGTTTGCATTTTAGATTATTAATACTGATTACCCTTGTGAAGACACTGAGATTTTGAAGAAACCTAAAATTAATATACTGCTACGTGAGTGTATGTGTATGTGCCTGTGAAAATGTTTGTGTTTTGGTATGTTTTATGATTAACTACCTTCTCAAAGAAATAGCCATGTTGAGTGTAGACCTTTACCATATTTTAATGGAGTACTAAATGAAGGAAAGATACTAAATAAATTCTAAGGTTTTGAAATACCTTCTCTTTGGTGATTTTCTAAAGCAATGCTAATGGCAATCTGAAGGGAGCGGTGATAGTTGTTTAATAGATTAGAAACGCCTTTTTCTTGGAAATTTTAAGTTTTCCCCAATTAATACCGTCACTGAAGCATATGTCAAAGCTTTCCGATCTCCTGTCCAGAAGAATTCTTTTCTGCTGTAAGCTACGCAGCATTCAAGGCAGTCAATCGCCTTGGGAGTTCTTTTCAGGCAGTAGCAGTAAGGTTTGAAGAACCTTCTACTTTTACTCTCATCCCCCAAATCCTACTATAGGGGCATGAGTGGGAATCATTTCATTTTAAACTGCCGTTTGATCTTTAAGAGACACTGCCCCAGGGGCTGGCCCCGTGGCCGAGTGGTTAAGTTCGCGCGCTCCGCTGCAGGCGGCCCAGTGTTTCGTTGGTTCGAATCCTGGGCACGGACATGGCACTGCTCATCAAACCACGCTGAGGCAGCGTCCCACATGCCACAACTAGAAGGACCCACAACGAAGAATATACAACTATGTACCGGGGGGCTTTGGGGAGAAAAAGGAAAAAAAAATAAAATCTTTAAAAAAAAAAAAGAGACACTGCCCCAGAGTGTCCGTTAACAAAAGTCAGCAGTGCTTGAGAGGTGTTTGGCCGCCTGCCTGGGGCCTGCCTCTCGTGGAAGGCAGGGGTTCACAGATGGAACTAGAGCAGTGCACTCTCCACTTTTGATTCGTTATTGAATGTGACCTATGCCCCATGCTTTTTAAATGAATTTATCCATCCCATGCCCATATTTGGAATTATTCCTTCAATGAGAGCATGTTGATGGTAATGATAAACATGACCCAGTTTTCTTTATTGCTTGGATTCTAGTATTCTGACTTCTCACTAACACTGAGGGTTGTAGATAAATATTTTAGGATCATAACAGTCTCATTCCTTTTAATACTTTAATGTAAAACCTTTTTAAGATAATATATTCAAATGATATTCCTATCCATATTTGGAGCTTGGATCTCATTAGAAAAAGATTTTACTTTGAAAACAGCTTTAAACCAAAGGATGACTTCTGAAAACTGTATAAAATCATTTCTATTTTGGAATATGTAAGAATAGATTATTTATATTTATAAATCACACGTGTACCATCTGTCCAGCTAGTTATATCTTCAAAATTCCCTTTCTGTTTGATTTTTTCAATCAAAATTCAACTTTAGGATTATTGAGAGAAGGTCCTTTAGTGGGTTAGAAGTTAAAGTCTATGACACTTTGTTTTCCCATATGACTAAAAGTCACCAATGTTAAGTAGCCATGAATTAACACAGTTTCCAGGCTTTTAAATAAAGACAGTGGCACATTTCATGTAAAAATATACTATTCAAAATGTAATGGTGCATTTTATAATTTACAAATGCTATTTTCAATCAACAAGAAATAAATGCCTAAACTTTCTTATTCAATTGGCAACATTGATTTTTTTCCCCCTGCTAAAACTCAAGTCTTCTGCTTTCTTTCTCTTTGAAGTGCAGGTTTTTTGCATGCATTTTTCTAACATCTAATAAAATGGTTTTTAAAATGCACAGGTTACTTTGCATGATTTTTTGAATTTGCTCATATACAAATACACAAATCATGTTCATAGTATGTTAAATTGGTGATAAAATTGATTCCTTCAGATAATGATTTATTAAGAATGATCAATAATGAAAAATGTTTCTTGTCTGTGCCATGAAAGCATACCTGGCCCCTTGTGATTTAATTTAGATGAGAAGGCTACTAATGACTATATTTGGAGGTTAAGGGAAAAAAAGTACGATTCTTTTGCCCAATGCTATGCTTAATGAAAGCATTTGACATGTTGAAGACGTAATTTTTGATTATATAAAAAAACTCGACTGATATTTTAAATTTCATAATTAATTGTTACTTTTGGTTAAATACATTTGAGTTTTTTTCCTTCTCCAGGCACAAATAGTACTTTTGTCTTAACTGGACCTAGAATTAATTTTAACATTGTAAAACCATTGAAATATTTTGTGGTGTTTATTTGTAAAGAATTTCTCAGCAAGTATGTTTTTTGTAATATTCTCTATCAGGCAAAAAGTTTTCAAAGTAATTACTGCAATCCTAAAAATTAGAGTCTCTGGAAAAATAAATATATGTTTTTAGTCAAAAGATTTTCATAATGTGTTTTCCTTTCTTTTGACCCTTAGAAATATATAAGAAATGCCAGTTAGTAGTTAACTAAAATTTCCTTTTGGCATAGTTTTTCTAAATGAAGGCCCCTGTAACTAATTCCTCAGGCATAGTTTTTAAGCTTGGATTGCCTGCCACTCCATTAGTACCATAGAAAGCACGTAACTTGCTGAAGGAGACTGAGTCTCATTTGGCTCCTATTGCTTCAGCTAATTGCTTTTCCCACCTTCCTGCTACAGTGGTTACAAGCAGTCCTGCAGTGTGTTTTCTCAATTCATAAAGAAAAGTAGAATGTTTTCCAAAAGACAGAAGAGTAAGTTTTTAATTTGTACCACGTAAGTCTGGTTTGCTTCCCAAAGATTTTCTCTCTCCTTGATTCTTAGATGTAAAAGGAGGAGTTTTTCAGATGTATTTAAACTCTGTCTTTTTCTTGTATTTCTCAGTTATTAGGAGTGAGGCTGAGGAAAAGTGATTTCTCAAGATAACCCAGCTCATTTAGAAACTTGTTCTTTCCAGGGTACACTGGGAGCCCTGTCCAGTTCTGACTTATTAGAATGAAAGATTTAATTTTAAAAGGCATAAGACTTCATGCCTTTTAAAATTTTTTATTGTTTCATTTACATATTTACCAGCTTTGTTCCTAGTGCTAGACAACACAGGACAAGTTACATGAGTTTACTGTAGCTGTGCTCTGGAAATCCGAGGCCAGGGCCTTAGGGCTTACTTTCCAGATTAAACTCATTTATATTTATAATTGATGATATTATTTTCTCCAGATGCTTTTTGTTTTCGTTTTTTATGGCAAAGATGTTCTCTTTTTATTTCACTCACACAAAAATGTTTTCTTTTAAAAATAACTTGAGGGGCTGGCCTCGTGGCCGAGTGGTTAAGTTCGCGCGCTCCGCTGCAGGCGGCCCAGTGTTTCGTTGGTTCAAATCCTCGGTGCGGACATGGCACGGCTCGTCAAACCACACTGAGGCAGCGTGCCACATGCCACAACCAGAAGGACCCACAACGAAGAACATACAACTATGTATAGGGGGGCTTTGGGGAGACCAAGGAAAAAATTTAAAAAATGAATCTTTAAAAATAACTTGATTGAACATTTTGACCAAGCTATGCTATTGTACATTAACAAAAATTAATTGTGCCTTCTTTTTCTAGGCAGCGCAAATTGTGCTAATCTCTCTGTTTGAATTGAATACTCCTGAATTTACCATGTTACTTGGTGCCTTGCCAAAAACATTCCAGGATGGTGCCACCAAACTCCTGCATAACCACCTCAAGAATTCCAGTAACACCAGTGTGGTGAGTGCTCACGATTGGTGCCTCTGATCTGATCATGACTTCAGCTTGTCCCTTATCTAGAACTTGCTCTAATAGAGTAGCAGCTATTTTGTTCTCTTTTAGTAGACTGTGGAGTCTCAAGGGTGGGGGCCATGTCTGATCCTGCCATATTCCCAACGAATGAATGAACCTGGTCTTTAAATATGGCCTTTTTCTTTAATTAGGTGGTTTAATCAGTTAAATTTTTACTAGGCTATTTAGTCAGTCAGTCATTGAGTTACTTATTTTGTTCATACTGTAAAGATGCAAATGCTTGATTGTATCTGTTTCTGTAGCACAACTGACATCATTCATTCAGCTTCAGGAATGCCTATATGACAGTTACCCATATTTGGTTTATAGGTACTTAAAACTGGCCTTATAATTCTGAAAAAAATCACCCTCACTGTGCAAATTCTGCCCGTTTATTAACATGTGGGTTAAAAGGCTAAGGGAAAGATGAAGCTATTCTATAGTTAGCCCTTGAATAATGATGCTGCTTCTGCCTTCACCCCAGGGCTCTCCGAGCAATACAATTGGCCGGACTCCCTCCCGACACACCAGCAGCAGGACTAGCCCCCTGACCTCACCCACCAACTGTTCCCATGGGGGCTTGTCTCCAAGGTAATGCCATTTCAACAGAAATGAAGAAACTAAAGCACCTGAATGTCTAGCCTATTTCTAGATGTTTAGACCAAGCTTAATACCAAAAAGTATTTGGGTATCAGGAGACCATGGGTTCTAGTCTCCACCCACATCTTAACTGTATAATCTTGGGCAAAGTGGTTAACTTTTTTGGTGAAATGTGTGGTTGGTGCTGAATGTTCTCTGAGATTCTTCCAGCTCTAAACACTTTCTAGTACCATAAACATTTTAAAGCTAAAAGTTAAATTTAGTACTGTTTCACATAGAAACCTTTTAGAAACTCATCACCTAGTCCATGAGTGAGAGGATCACCTGAAAGTATTTAGTCATCTAAATAAATCCTTTATAGTCAGTCACACATAGTCTGGGGTAGTTTTCCAACCAAGTGGCCCTTCCAAGCATAGTTGCTACCATTATGGGCTCACGTTTGAAGCAGAATGCTGCTCTGGAAGGAGTGATTAAGAATCTGAGAACTAAAATTGGATCAGCATTTTCAGACTCTTGTTGGGACCATGTGAACATTGGTATTATAGAGTCTGACGCAGTGACTTTAAAAGAGAAAATGCTCTGTCTTGAGATCTTTAAATAGCACTTTCCATCTGGCCAGAGCCTTTAGAAGTCTCTGCATTATGGCTTTAGTGACCCCCCCTGGCATGTGCTGGAGTCCCCCGTGGCCTCACTCAGAGTAGTGGCCCTGTTGCCAGGCTTTTTAGGAAAAAGCCAGTGCCTGAACCTGTAAGGGTCATCTGTGCTGTATTTATCTACAAGAAGTCCAGATCTTCGGACTGGAATAAGAGGGCTGTATCTTAAAGGTTGCTAACACCAAGATCTTAAAATTATAAGGAAACACTGCAAGTATGCCATTTTCCTTTTAAGGGTTGCTTCTTTAGTAGGAAGCTGTCAAAACGTAAGTGCCTTTAAATTGAGATTTTTCAAAGATCAAGTCTCCCAAACTCCTTCCTCCTTACGACTGAAGTTCTCTACAGTTCCTCAAGTTATTGTATAAATATTTTGGAACATAACAAATTTGTATTTTCCTCTTTGTGAAACAGAGTATTTTGTATACTTACAGTATTCTACTGTTTATATTGCCTTATGTTTAATGCCCCTAAGGGCCCCTGGTTCTGTATTTAGGTAGAATGAAATGCGGTGTTTCGTCCCCAGATTTGGTCTGTGTTGTCATCATTTCAGCAGGCTATTATAATTAGATAATTGAGACCAGAAACTAATAAAAATATATCCTGCTTTCCCCAGGTGTGACTTAGGCTCAGCCAACTTTTTTTTTTAATGTTAACATCTGTATCTAAAGTATATGGTTTGTCTTAAATGACCAGGGTCCAGTGTTGACAGTAAAGTCAGAGTTCTCTTGGTGGCGGAGAATTTTATGGAAAACTTATATTCTCTGTAAATTGTTGCTTTTGACTAGAAATGATTCTCCTATGATGTTAATTGGGAAATCTGTTCTTCCATGATATATAGTTCATACTTCTTATCTTTTAGTTATTTCATTAGGGTGGCACATTCTTTAGGTAATAAGCAAAAGGGTAAAACTCAAATTAAGGTATTTTATTGTTACATGTGCTTAATAGTATAAGTAAAAGAATTGGTGGGGGCTGCTAACCATCAGAGCTAACAATTGGCTAGGTATTAATCTTCATGGATCCCCAAATTATTAAAATTTTTATTTTTCCAGGTTACCATTCATTCTTAATTGGCCTGATCTTAATTTTTACTGTTAGGGTTACGGGTCAGTGAAAGAAATGAAGAGATTGATTTTTTTTTTTTTTTTTTTTAAAGATTTTATTTTTTCCTTTTTTTCCCCAAAGCCCCCCGGTACATAGTTGTGTATTCTTCGTTGTGGGTTCTTCTAGTTGTGGCATGTGGGACGCTGCCTCAGCGTGGTCTGATGAGCAGTGCCATGTCCGCGCCCAGGATTCGAACTAACGAAACACTGGGCCGCCTGCAGCGGAGCGCGCGAACTTAACCACTCGGCCACGGGGCCAGCCCCTGAAGAGATTGATTTTTAAATATTAAAGCGTGGCCCAAATAGTTTCTCGTCAACAAATTCTTCTTTAGGGAATTATTTGGTTATATAGTGTAAAAAAAAAAAAAATGTGCCCTCAATCATTGCATGGCTAGTCAGATGGCCTTAACCAATTTGAGCTCAATAGGAAAAATGATTTTTCTCACAACTAAAATTATCCAGAAGTAGGAAAAACTGCCTCATGTCATCATATCACTAGAAGTATTCAAATAGGCTACATACTTTCTACCAGGAAAATTATAAAAGAAATGAACTCTTGCACTAAGTAGGAGAATGGACTAGGCTACCACATTCTAAGGCAATAGACGAGTTCTGTTCTATCTCATCTTAGCTGTTTTTCTGAGCAATGCTCTTGAAATATTTATTTTCTGCGACCTGCCATTCTTTTGAATTATCTTGACCATATGGTGTTAGCTTTTTATTCCTTTTTTTTTTTTTGAGGAAGATTAGCCCTGAGCTAACATCTGCTGCCAGTCCTTTTCTTTTTGCTGAGGAAGACTGGCCTTGAACTAACATCCATGCCCACCTTCCTCTACTTTATATATGGGACGCCTACCACAGCATGGCGTGCCAAGCGGTGCCATGTCTGCACCTGGGATCCAAACTGGCAAACCTCTGTCCACCGAAGCGGAACGTGCAAACTTAACCGCTGCACCACTGGGCCGGCCCCTAGCTTTTTATTCTTAAGGGGAAAAGTTACTACCAATGATTTGGTTTTTAGTCTAATTTTGAGTATCAAAATGAACTAATTTTTTTTAGTCCAAAAATTGTACACTTGGATCATGGTGGTGATAAGGAAATATTCTAAAATGAACAAATCTAATTTGATAGCTTTTAAAAAAAATCACTAGTGAGGAAGTCATTTTTATCAACTCAGTAGTTTTAGAGAAGCTGAAGCTAACAGGTTAAACTTTGTGAAACCTCCCATTAATTGTTTCTGCGTGAGGGAAGCATTACTGCTTATCCCTACCTAGGAAACAAATACTACTGATTTTTTGGAGAGGAGATTTATGACCTGGAGTTTTTCAGCATTAAACGCATATTTATATTTTAGCTCATTTTACCCAGCGCGATTTATGTTAAATGAAAAACAGAGTTGTAAGGGGTTTCAGAAATCACTTCAAGTCTGTTCCCTTTCAGTTAAATAAGTATGTGGCAGTCCTCACTCTGGTCTGCTGTACGTTCTTGGCAAACATGTAGAGCAGAATGGCACTAAATAAATAGTAACCTCTGTTCCCCTAGCAATGAAGGGTGATTTTAGGTAGATTTTACATTCATCCGTCAGAGGGTCCAGAGTGTCCATAGAGTCAAAGTGGGGATTCACTGGAAGACCTAGCCTCCTGCGGGGAGGTGGTGGTGCCCCTGCTTTGTCCTCTGCCTGTTAGCAGAGCTCCAGCCTGAGGTGGTCACCCGTATTCTTCTTGTACCCCCGCCCCCGACTCAGTGTGTGACTTCGAGAAGGTCTTTGGGCCCTTCTCTGGCGCAGTGACCTCTCATCTCCACACTTTATTTTCCTTTCAAAATGGAGCCGTATCTGCTCTCGGGTGGAGACTAGCTCTGTCCATCCTGCTCTTAGAACTATGATGAATGCAGGGCTGCTCGCCAGGAGCACTGTCTCTGATGCGCAGACTCTGCTCTGTGGCCTCACCTCACATTTCCAGCCAGCTCAGCTCACCCTTTTCCCCATGTCTCTGGTTCTTTTGAATTGCAACAGTTGTTAGAACTCTCTGTCAGAGTCTCTCCAAGCCCAGGTCACTTAGTGACATTTGCAAAGTGAAGAGGAATACCTGTGTTCTCAGATGAATTTTAATTCTCTTATCAGGTGATATGAGCAGAGGAATTAGATTTTTGATTGCCCCCCTCTCTGAACGGGCCAGCTGAGACTTGATGCCCTTGCCCTCTAGTGGTGGTGTTATTCTTCCAGAAGAAAATTGTGTGTGGCAGCCTCTGAACTCCATGTGATTGGATCCTGGCCTCAGGGAGTGCATTGCCCCTTGCTCAAGTGCTCTGGTCAGAGTGGCATGTTCTCTGAGTCTTTCTGCTGTAGTCCCGTTGGTCCCATTTGAACTAAGGCCCATAATTACTTCTTTGTTTCTTTCTAAAATAATTGATTGCATTATCTGAAACTGAACATTCATATTTTTGTGTGTGTAAGTGCTTATAATGTCCTTCCAAATGCAGACCCACACATGCTCTTCACTTGGAATCTCATGTGATTTAAAAATGTGAATGCATGATTGAGAGGGAAAGGAATAGTCCTACTGAGGACCAAATTGTAACACAAAATTTGTTCTTTTTCCTGTATGGTGAACTATTAATTTTGTTCCAATTAGTTTTGATAAAACTTGGTCAAGGAAAGAGGAGACCATAGGACACTGAGAATGTAGCGTCTTCCTCTCCCCTTGCTCCTCCCCTCCCCTTTGCCTTTTTCTGTTTCTCTTTCTGATTTTCCTCTCTGATCACTACAGTCGGTTATGGGGTTGGAGTGCCGATGGGTTATCGAAGCACCCACCTCCCTTTTCTCAGCCTAACTCCATTCCCACCGCTCCCTCCCACAAGACTCTCAGGCGCTCTTACTCTCCCAGGTAACAAGCTACCTGTTAAACTTGTCTGAGGTGTCACAATATTATTGCATTTCCAAGGTCGTCTCAGGTCTTTTGGAAAGCCTCTCAGCGGCCGCCAGTGTGGTCCCCGCTTTGGCTTAGGCTAGCAGGAGTAGACCCTTGGTGAGAAGTGTGAGCAGATGTGTGATCTTTGTTGAACCTCGCAAGGACAGCTCCTACTGTGCCACGAGGGCAGATGACAAAATTCATCACCATTTACTGCCGCGGGCCTTGCGGCGCACTGGAGCGCTCAGCCCCCAGAAGGTGCTCAGGCAATGCCAAGCAGTCAGGGCAGGCCGTGGTGAGCGTGGTTTCCTTAGCATTCTTCTTAGATGGAAAAGGTGTTTCCACTGAGAAGCAAATGAGACCTGTTCTTTCCCAAACTGCACCTGTAGCTCTCAGTCCTGCTGTTGATTGTCTGGACTGGTTTCTTTCATAATGTACTGTCATATGGTGACAGCCTGAGGACACACAGATCCAGAAAGGAAGGCCCGAGAAGTGCATTCACTGGTACGCCTCAGTAAAGATGCCTGCGCTCTAGGCAGGAGAGCTGCCGGTGTCCTCACGAGCCCCTGGTTGAATGAGTCTGGAAGAAGCGTGGGGGGGGGGTGGGGGGCTTCCTTCAGATGCTAAGAGAAATGGTAACTCTGCAAGTATTCCTCCAGGGTCCACGTATTCCTACAGATACCTGTCTGTGGATCGCTTAGGTATTTTTTATGAAGAAAGATCCAAAGATCAGAGAACCCCTTCCCTAGTTGTGTGCAGTCACATAAGCTGAGCATGGGGCAGTTCAGCTGTCTTTGTGCTGTGGGACATGGGTTTGTACCCTCTGTGATAGGACAAGGGTAAACACAAAGCAAAATAAAGTCTGTTACTTTTGAGTGCTTCATAGATAGCTTTTGCACAGAAGATTCACATTCCTGCTTTTGTATCCTCAACATAGCACAACTTTGCATAGTAAACAGGTCAGCTAAATGTTTCAACAACATCTTCTGAAACTCTTACAGCCCTAAAAGTAACCTCTAAAGTGTACAGAGAATCGGATAATGACTGTTTCTAGATACACAAGGTTAGGGCAAGGGCACACCGACAGTGAGACAGCTGCTCTCGTCAGTGTTAATAAAGCATGTCACTACACTTTCTTTTTTTTCTTTATTTCTCTTTCTTTCTTTTAAAGCTTAGCTATCCTTCATAGTATAAGACCAGTTTATTGCCTGTCTCCCAGTATAAAGACGTGTGTGCCCTAATGGGCAGTAAGCTTCATCCCCAGCCAGTCTTCTCATCCAGCCATCCAGACTGCCCTCCAGAGGACATTCCCTTCCCAATATTGTCTTTCACATCTGTGCCCAATAATGTAGCTAATGCTTAATGAACATCTGTGACTTCTGTTAACCATCAGAGGGAGTTGACTAGAGACTTCTACATTTAGGAGACCTATCAGTTACATAAAACTAAGAAGGAATCTATGTCTGTCTCTTTGCCAAAACCCTATTAATTTCATAACAAGGAACCTTTTTCCTTATTCCATACTTAGTATCTTTTCCCTGCAAAACGACAAAGAACAAAATCTCAGAAGGCAAACTTGTGTCTCGAGTTTCTCTTTTCTTGGAGACCTGACCTCATGCACCTCTCCACCCACGGTGCGGATCCTTTACAACAGGGCAGGTCCAGAGCTTGCTTCTGCTTCAGTGTTGGGTGACACAGCCTGAACTTAAGTCAGTGAATATTGACCAATTGAGCAACTCTTCCTAATCTAAAGAATCCTAAGGAAACTTTTCTGGAGTCTAATCATAGTGTTTACAGATGACCAGGACCTGGCCTTTAACCTGGGGATAATTGTCTGAGCTAAAACAAGACAGAGTGTGGGGCAGGTGACAGACTGGAGTGGACCTGACCAAGTCTCTTCTAAGTGAAGCTGTTGCGTCCCTCTTGCTGCTCCCTTATGTTTTACTTGTCGGGACGGGGACCATGGTATCTGTGATTCCCCAGTGACAGCGTTCATGGGAATTTCCTTTTTCTCTACAAAGTGAGGACTCATAGGTATTATTTGAAAAAAGACAATTGCGGAAACATGAAATAGCAAAGAAAGTAGCGTTACCTGTTTCCTGTTAGAGGAAAGCAATGATGTCTCTCACCTGAAGCTCACAGTTTTAGCTTCGTACCAAGGAGATACTTCAAACCTGAAGCTAGTGAGTCTAATAAAAGAAGTGTCACCACAGATTCTACTTGGTTACTACATATGTGTGCCCCTAAATTGGAAGTCTGAGTTGGTTTATTGATTGAAAGTAAGGAGGAGGAACATGAACTGGCAGAATCCTTTATTTTCTTATTTTAAAAAGAGGCTACTATAATACTAAAGTTATGTGAACTTAAGTGAAATATTTTAAGAAAGTTTAGGTTAAGAATAATGAGATGAATTAAGTGAAAGCTAACGTTATCTGAAGCGACATATGGAAAATAATATTGTGACATCCCTTAAAAAGCTCAACGTTCCGCCAGACTCCTCTTGTCCATCCCATCATTCTTTCATTTTTTTATTTTCCTTTTGCATGGGCTATGCTATTATTTTTGGTTGTTGTGATTAAAAGTATTTTAAGGCATCTTTTTACATCTTGTATACATATTTTTTGTTTGAGTCATACTCAGTTTTTGTATATAAAAAATAGTGTACTGGCCAGATGTATAAATGCCTTTGTTCATACGTGAGCTGCTGTTGTGCTGTTCTGGAAAGGCGGGGCAGGGAGCCTGTGTGTTCCTCAGTCATGCTTCCTTCACATTAAAGGGATATTGCCTCATAGACAGATAACCTTACGAACCTAGAGGGGGTTAAAATCTTGGATTCTGTTCAAGTTTTTTATTCCATGTCCTGTCAGCATATACATGAAATTTTAGCTGTAAACGTGTTCTAGTTCACATTTCTTTTTGTTTGATGCCAGAGCCAGTCTTTGAGCTGGCATGTATTTTTGTGAACTTTCCAAGTACAGTGGGGGTGTGTATTTTCTTTTATTCATCAGAAAAGAAGAATGGGTTCTATCTGAACCAGTTTTGCAATTTTAGGCAAATAGCTTTCATCTCTGAGAATGAGTTCCGATCTCGTGTTCTAGCAGAACCTCCAACCTTAGAAAACACTTGGGTCGTTGCAGCCTCAAGCCAGTAGAGGTCTGGCTACTCCAAGTGAGAACTGTCCAAATCTCATCCACCCTTAAAACCTTAAAAAAAAAAGTTGGGGGAGGAGGCTTTATAAATATGATTTGTTTTTAAGTTACAGGAAGCTTAACTCTAGTGAGAATGTACAGCGTTGATGCATTGATTGTGTTGCCCCTAGTAGGAGTTCCTGCCAATGAGTGCCTACTTTCAGTTAATTCTCTTCTGAAAACGGAAGGATTGCTTTGCTTTAGTCCTTAATAACGTTGAGTGCCTACTTACATACAGCCAAGGATTCTTTGAGTGGCCCCAGCAATCCTCAGTATAGCTCAAGACTTTCTGCAGGTTAAAGTAGACCAACTCATCTGATCTTTTCTTGAAACAAGTAACATTTAAACTAGGTTACAGTTTTTGACTTGCCTTTGGTTTACTTTTGCTCCATGTTTTGCTTTCTTTATACTAGTGTATCAACTCCCTGCTTTTTTCTCTGATATTCTTAGTGAGGGACAGTGATAGTTTTTGTTCTTAGGATCTTCTGTCTGTTTCAGTGCACTTTTCAGACATATAAAGGCCACTTGTTGATACTGTATTACACCGAAAGGCTATTTAGGATTTTTGCTTTGTTTCATGTTTTACTATGCTAAATGTCTAAAAGGACAACAATTGATGTCACTTTTCTGTGAAGGACAAATATTTCTTGCTTTTTGAAGTGCTTTTAGACACCCATCTAGGAATATAACTCATCTTTATAAGATCTGCTTTTCTTATAAAACTCCAAATAGAAGCATCTAGAAGAGTTTGATATTCACAGCAACTTCCTGGGTTAGATGACATGAGAGACTTTCAAGCACCCATTGGCAGAGTAGATCTGATTCTGAGTGAGTCATTTTTGGTATAGGTTTTTATTTGATAAGTTTCAGATACTGGTAAACATAATCCAGTCTCTTGAAGTCATTTCCTTTGCTCATGTGAAATTTGTTTGTAATACTAGCTTTATTCTGAAGTGCCCATTCATCTTAATTTCTTTGTACATTTGAGACCAGTAACAACCAGGCTCCTTTTTTCCATCTTCAGAATACTGAAAGTTATTTTCTCACTTTCATTACTTCATACGTTGTCACCGTTGTCACCCTTTGAGTTCTTGTATTCTCGTGGTCATTGTTGTTTCCCACTGGTTCTTACTAAGTGCTGGTGTGATGTGCTTGGGACCAGATCTGACAAGAAAGATGTAGAATTATCCAGTGGTGGTGCTCTAACAAAAGATGTCTCCTTTTCATTCCAAATCTCCTAAAGAATCAAAACTATAACTATATCTTACTCTAAATTATTAGAAGTAGTTTGTGCCCATACCTCAATTTTATGTATATGCCTCAATTTAAGAAATAAAATGTGTTTGATCTTTAGCATGCTGGACTATGATACAGAGAACCTGAACTCTGAAGAAATCTATAGTTCTTTGCGTGGAGTTACAGAAGCCATTGAAAAGTTTAGTTTTCGAAGCCAAGAGGATCTGAATGAGCCAATTAAACGAGATGGCAAAAAGGACTGTGATATTGTAAGTATCCCCAGGCTAAATTAAGTGATAATTCTGAATACTAACCACTGTGATTACTTGGCTTCATCATTATTTTTATCTTGTAGTTAGAATAGTATTATTTTTAAGAGACTCAAGGCAATTTTATAAAGTTTTGAATAATCCTCGCTATCTTTGTGAAGAATGTTAAATACCTTTGTTCTCAGTTTGATTTCGTTTATCCTGGACATATTTTTGTTCCTGTGATGTGATAAAAATAGTGAGCCTGAATCAGACACCTGCGTGGCTCTCTGGGAGCTTGAGTCTCATGCAGAGGCAGGCAGATTAGTGGGAAATTGTGGTGTGGTGGGAATGGTCAGGGCTTCACCCCAAGGAGACCTGCTGGGCTCGTCTTGGTGCTCAGGAAAGATCTGCAGAAGAGATGGTTCCACCCTCCGAGCTGAAGCATGAAGGTCCATATGAGTTTGTCAGGTCAAGCAGGAGGTTGTAGTCAGAGAAGGGGACCTGTGAGAAGGGAGAGAGATGGGAATAGGCGCAGTATGATTTCTTGTTGGGAATGGCCGAAGTGGAGAGGGCTTGTATGTCGTGTTATTGGGGAGCTTTTGGTGAAGAGGCTGTAGAGGTTGGCTCTGGAAGGGCACTCACACCAGAGGAATTTCCAGCCAATGTCTTGACTTTACTGTGGGGTCACTAGAGACTCTGAGGGATTTTTAACCAGGGAAGTGGCATGGTCACAGTTACATTTTAGAAAGATGACTGTCAATCTGAGCTGGAGAATGATTCCAGAGGAAGTTGGGTTGGGGAGGGCATGAGCAGAAATAGAAGAGTCAGAAGTCTCTGGCTAGGACTGTTGAGTAGGTGCTGGTGCAGTTCAGTGAGGTAATAGCATAGAAGGAGAAAAAAGTGCCTCTTAACCCCTCTGGAACGTCATGGATTCAGTTTTGAATATATGTGACTTGCAAGACCTGTGGCATGTCCAAGCAAACAAGAGTGAAATAAGCGAGACACAGAAAGACAAATATTCCATGATTCCACTTAAAGTGGTCAGATTCATAGAGATGCAAAGTAGAATATAGGTTACCAGAACTGGGAGGGTCGGGGAGTTATAATTAATGGGTACAGAGTTTTAAGTGGGGAAAATGAAAAAGTTTTGCCCAAAACATAACATAGTGGTAATGGTTACACAACATTGTGAATGTATTTAATGTCACTGTATTGTACACTTAGGAATTAAATTATTAAAATGGTATATATATATTACCATGATTAAAAAACAAACACACATAAGCAGAAAATGAGAGAGATGTGTCTTCTCAGTAGCACAAGTTAAAAATTTGCCGTAGCAATCATAGTGTGGTCTCACTGCCTGAAGCTGTTTCCACCGTTGTTAAATAGTCGGATGTTTGGGATGAGGAAAATGATGGTTTTGCTCTCTTCCCAGCAGTCAGCCCACACTTGCTCTGTTACGGTGCCACCCTGCAAAGGGAGCCAGACAGGCCACTGCACCTCAGAACAATGGACCCTGAGAGTGAAGGGAGTCAGAGACCAAGGCCCAGAGGACCAGAGGTTTAATTTGTCAAAGAAAAGACTCAGAATATGTTAGGGGAAAAAAATTTCAGAAAATATTAAAACTTGTTCTTTGACCCAACATAAAGGCCAACTCTGAGAGTCAGAATATTCAAAGGAAGAATGGTCTGCCTAAGGGATACTGAGTTCTCCATTGTTAGAGATGAGTAAGCATTGTCTGGCTCACCACTTGGTGGGAATGTATACAAGGAATTCATGGACAGTTGGACCACTTTAGATCTTACGATGGTACTTTGGGCAGCGTCTGTCCATTGGTGGTGGGTTGGGGCATCAGTGAGAAAACTCTCACTGTGCGCAATGAAAGTGACATGCTGCATGTTGGCACAGGAGATTCCTGAAGAACTGGGGATGTGAGGTGTGCAGCCTTTGTTCTCAGGGACTCTTCAGAATTTCATGTGATCAGTCTGTCAGAAACTGAGTAATATGAATCACCAAATACAAAGTAAAACAGACTTTATGTAAATTAATGAATGAATAGATGAAAACTTGAGCATATTCATTTCCCTTTAAGGTGATTTATGAATTAGATATTTACAAACTGAAGTACTAATAACTGTCCTTTTGTTAGTGGCCAGATTTCAAGTGAGAAATCGCTGGCTTTCCTAACTCTTCTGAAAATTTAAAGGAAAAGTTTGTTAAAAGTCCTAAAAAGAAACTGACAGTGTGATGTTCTCCAGGTGTCCCGAGACGGTGGGGTTGCCTCTCCTCCCACTGAGGGTCGGGGAGGGAGTGATGTGGTGGAAGGAGGCAGGACAGCTCTGGACAACAAGACCTCCCTCCTCAACACCCAGCCTCCACGCGCCTTCCCAGGGCCGCGGGTGCGAGACTACACTCCATATCCCTACTCGGACACCATCAACACCTATGACAAGACAGCCCTGAAGGAGGCCGTATTTGACGATGACATGGAACAACTGCGAGATGGTTTGTCTTTTCTTTGCTTGATTGTCCCCCATCCCAGAAGTGCCTTACGTGGGCTTCCCCTCTTGTCAGACCACCTTTGGGTGTACTGGTCAAGCATAAATGGCAATGTTAGACTTGTTCTGGTTAGTTGTTAGTTCAGCAACCACTGTTGAGCTCCTACTGTGTGCTAAGGCATGGAAGGCACCACAGTGAACAAAAGCATGCACAGTCCTGCTCTCTAGAAGCTCACAGTCTAGTTGTGGAGGCAGTCATGAGATAAGCAGTCGCACAAACAACCTAAAATTGCAGCTATGACAACTGCAATGAAGAAAAGCTAAACTCTGCCCATCGGGAAAGGCTTCACTGAGGAATGGGAGCCTGAGTGGAGATGAGAAAGACAAGGAGTCAGAGTTAGTGAGGTGCAGAGTGAAGGCATGAGCAGTCCCAGCCCAGGGCTCAGCGTTTGTAAAGCCCTCTCATGTGTACTTGCCCGGTCCTGAGCTATGGAAGTAAGATCCTGAAGCACTGCTCAAAGACTTCCCTCTCCTGTCTCACCAGCAGTTTAACCAAGTCTTCCTGGAGCTGCTTTCTGTTGACTTCTGTCCTGCAGCTGGGAGAGAGGGGATCTGACATACTCTGAGCATGTGCGTTACATGTGCCTGCTGCTGGACTAAGTGTTTTACATACATTATCTAATTGATAGAGAAGGGATTATTCCCATTTCACAGATTAAGAAACTGATGTTCAGAAAGGTTAGGTTACCTTCCCCAAATATGACATACTTGGTAGGGAACAAAATTAGTCTGGTTTTTTTCTGACCCTTGTGTTGTAACAGGTGAGTACATATGTATGGTGGTATTTTGGTATGATCGCACCGTTGGTATGATGGTGTTTTTATCTGGAACTTAATTATTTCTTTTTTAACCTGTCATGTTCACATGTTTTGGTTTATTTCAACTTATTAGGCATTTTAGAAAAAAGATATATCTGTTTGGTTTCCAAGCCTGTTATTTTACTTTGTTTTTCCATTTTGAATGAAGAATTAAAGAAGAACCCTAGGTTAGAACTCTAAACAGTTAACATTCAGTGACTCCTACTGTGTGTCACGAAGTGTATGACTTGCCGGGGGCAGGGAGGTAAATGAGACACACTGCCTGGCCTCAGTGAGCTCAGGGCCTGTCGGGAGAAACAGACTCCTCTTGGTAGCATTAGTAAAAGGGGAGGGCCATGCTCGAGGCAGACGCTGGCTTCAGTGAGGGCACAAAAGAAGGAAAACTGCAGCCCCTTAGTGGATCCGATGGATGGAATCCTAAGACAGGAGAGAAGCCCTTCAGTCGTTTGAAAGCAGAAATAGCTTCAGGGCTTTGAAAGCGTATTCCCTTGGCTGTTAATTGGTAATTGCTTGTGGGTAGCAGCTCAGTATAGACCCAAGCATCTGTTTACTGGGCATTAGGCTAATGGTCTGGTGTTCATTATGGCTTGCACCTTCTAGGAATAGTGCACTATTTCCTTTTATTGCTCATAGAATTGGTACATCATTTAACTTATCCATTTGTTGGTCTTGTTTAAGATAGAGTAGTGTTTAAGATGTTGGTTGTTATTTATTCACCATCTGTATATGTACTAAAAAACTTAAAAGAAGAAGGTGGGTTAGTAGGAGAAAAATGATAGAGTTATTAACATTTCAAACTTCCTTATGTGTTTGTTCTCCAATCTTAGAAGCTAAAGAAATATGCATATACAAATTTAACTAGTTCCTAGTGATTTGTCTTTGTTTTTTCATCTTTTCTATTTAAAGTGAATATTCAGAGTTGAGATCCTCAAAAGAACATGGAAAGAGAAAGGGTCTGCTTTTCTGCCATATAAATCATGGTTCAAGTCCCTGACGAGTTTTACAGTCTGAATAGATAGTCCATGAATAGTCTAAACATGTTGATTAGTGTTTGTTTACTGTCTTGGTTACTAAGCTCTGGGCATTTGAGAAGGGCACGGATGTTAATCAGTCAGATGTGATAGTGAGGAGGACCTTGAGGAAAATGTGTGTACTTCAATGCATATGATACTAGTAAGAGACTGTCCCAGTGGTAGGGCTCAACTTAGGACTGTTGCAGTGGGAATAGAGTTTGGAAAAAGAAGACAGTTAAGGAGGGGCTTTTGGAGGGTTTCTCCTCTTTGTCTGACACAGATGAATGAAATAGTAATTTCTCCTCTTTGTCTGAAACAGAAGGGAAAAAAAGATGGTAAGGGAGGGTGAAGACATAGCACATATTGGTACTTGACACCTGTTCTCACATCTCTCTTCATAATTACTTTGGTGAGATGACCTGTGAGGGTGTAAAGAATGAGGTTGGGGCAGCAATGCAGGATGAAGTGCGCGATGGGAATGATCAAGAGAGTTGCCTCTGGGAGCCTGGAGAGCAGTGGAAGGACTGCTGAGCATCACTGAGGGAGCGCCTATAGCCAGACATTTCCTTATGAAGTAACCTTGGTTTCCTGTGTCTCACAAGTGCCCATTGACCATTCTGACTTGGTGGCTGACCTCCTAAAAGAGCTGTCCAACCACAACGAGCGGGTGGAGGAACGGAAGGGTGCCTTGCTGGAGCTGCTCAAGATCACCCGGGAAGACAGCTTGGGCGTCTGGGAGGAACACTTCAAGACCATTCTGCTCCTGCTGTTGGAGACACTCGGAGACAAAGATGTGAGGAGCTTGCCTTGTCCTTACATTTCCCCCTTCCATGCGATGCGGTTATTGAGTTCTTTTGTCATGGGTTTGGCTTTAGCCTTACTTTTTGTATTATGATTACTGTTTACATCAAAACATTTTTCAAATATTTTCTGAGCACCAGTTAGTAAGGGAATGTTTTTGTCAGAGACAGGCTTATGTGCAAGTTTTTTCTGTAGTTTGTAGGAATTGAGGGAAGCTTGTTCCTGCATCAGGATACTTTAACACAAAATTTCTTAAAGCTTTGTTAGCACAGAATGTGGTTTTTTGTGATGAGCTTCTTTCCTTGTGAGTTTTATTTATGTTTCATGTGTAATTGAGAAATAGAAAAGTTAATTTTTTAAAAGACCCTACTAAATGCTGCATTCCATGAAATTCTGTCTTGGTTCACCCCTACATATGTTCACAGTTCTGGTAATCTTAATTGGTCAAGCGACAGGTTCTAGAAGTGTAGATTGTTATTATTTTCTATTATCTTCTCTTACTTTTTTTTAAGATTAAAAGTCCTCCTCGCACTATGACATTTAAATGTGACAAACTAGGCATTTATGCCATGCCTAGGCTATAATTGACACGTGGCACCTAGTAGACGACTCTTAAAGGGGGAGTAACGTAGTCAAAGTCCTGCCTTCTCCCGCCTGTGCAGCTGGTCCCTTATGTGGAGCCAGGAATAAATGTTGGGAATTGCCTGAATTAAACTCTCGAAGTAAAAATCCATCTCCTTGCACTGGGCTTTGTGCAGGCTAGCAGAAACAAAAATAAAATGAGTGTACTGAAGGGTTTGAGGGGCAGGACCCAGCAGATTTCAAGGAAGTTCAACAAAGCCCCTCATAAAGGTCATGCCCAGGGTCATATTGATGGTGACTTAAGAGAAGACAGGTGAGCGGAAGCCTTGTGGATGTCATGGTGACTTTAATTGCTCTCTGATGCTTAGGATTAATGGTTTGGCATAGGGTGAGTAAAGACAGAAGAATGATGATAAAAGATCTGTATTAATTTTTCTTAAAGTATTGGCTACTGAAGCCCTTCCACTTGGTTGGGCTTTGTGAGAAGATAAAATGATGTCACGTAGAGGGCAGGATGGTGTATTAGTGTGTGAATTGTACAGATGAGTGACGGAGAGTCAGGATGTACTTTTTGGCTCTGTTTGGTGTAAACTCCGTTCTGTTTTATTGAGATTAGGAGTCTGTTTGGAATGGCTTTCCTCCAGACGTATGACTGGGGCCGCAGACAACTTGAGGCCTGCACAAATTTCCCTCCCCTGTGATCTGATCACACAGAACGTCTGGAATAACCACAGGTCTCCAGCTGCCCTTAGAGTCCACAGTTTTACAGATTGTGTTGATGAAATGTTTAGATGCTTTTTACCTGGCTTTTTGTCCATTTTACAAAAGAGTAATTTGCATACCTAAGTCTCAGGAAATCTGGAAATGCCCAGGAGATTGATAATGAATTTAGATGTATAGTCCTCATTTGACTTCATTTGGTCCTCATTTGGCTCATTCAAGAAGCTTCGTTGGGTCCCTCTTAGGTACCTGGTCCTGGGAATGTCACCATAGGCACAGCTCCTGCTCTTAAGGAGCTGACTGTCTAGAGAGCCTCTGTTAAGTAAGCAGTGAGATGTGTGTCAAAGTATCTGCAGGATGCCAGGGATGCCCAGGATTGAGTGCTTGCTGGACCTGGCTGACCAGTATGTTTAGTGAAGCACTGTGTCTTGTTTCCTGATGTCTTTCTTTCCTTTTGTACTCCAGCATTCCATCCGAGCACTAGCATTGAGAGTTTTACGTGAAATTCTGAGAAACCAGCCAGCAAGATTTAAAAACTACGCCGAGCTGACGATCATGAAGACTCTGGAAGCCCACAAAGACTCCCATAAGGAGGTGAGCCAGGCCTGTGGCCCAGGAATGCTGAACAGACAGGTCTGGAGGTGCAGTTAGGGTGTGGAGAGAGAGCAGTGTGAATCAGTGTACAGCTCTAAAAAGAGTCCCCTTTGAACTCAGCCTGTGCCGTGATACAGGGTGAAAATCCCATTGCTGTCGTGGTGGCTGAGCAGCAGTTGAGGGGCCAGTGTTGCTGGTAGGTTCCCAACTCCCTTTCCATGTGTACAGTGGGCTTGACCTGTTCCTGAGGAGTTTCCATGTCCACGGTTCCCATTCCTTTGGTTAAAAGGGGGGGCCTGCCATTTTCTTCTGGCATTCAGCATCTGGTACTCTGGTGTGGGAAATCAAGATTGGCTTGAAGACACAGATGTACGAGTCCTAGAACCAACGCTTTCTTGCTCCAGAACCTTGGACAAGTTATTTTACGCTCTGAACCCCAGTTTCTTGTGTGTAAAATAGAGATGGATATTATCACAAAGATTCTTGTGAGAACTAAATGAGATAACCAGTGATGCTTCCTGGCCCAGTGCTTGATGACTGGAGGCATTACACTGTGTTGGTCTTCCTCCCCTTCCCGCATGCTCCTTTCTGCAAAGAGCAAGAGGAATGGAGGCAGCTTTGCCATGCTCTTCACCACCTCCTGAACATTTAAAGTGCTGGCAAACTGTGCCTGTGGTTCTTGGCACCTCACATGTCTATCGGAGAGCAAGAAAGATGTGTTTCTGTGCCCTGCACACGTACTGCAGACGTTGGACGCTCAGGAAATCCTCTTCCTGTTGCTTACTGAATTGTTTTAGCCCCTGTAGCTGACCAGTCTTGAGTATCTAGAGGCCTACAGAGAGTGGGGAGGTAGATGAGGCTGTCATAAATAGAAATGATTTCAGTAACCCCCTTCCAGTAAAAGGCACTATGGAAAACAGAACCGTATATTTAGAACTTTAGAAAACTTAATATGACAAACGATGAGTTTGATCCCAAAGTGAGACAAAACCACTTGCTCAGTTCAGTCTCTTGGCTCACATGTGAGTGTCGTGAGCACTCTCATGGATTAAGGGAATTGTGATTAGCGCAATTGTTATATCTACAATAAGAATCAGCCTAAATCGTGGTTTTTCTCTGTTCGTGGTTGTGTGGCTGCTGAACAGTGACGAGTTTGACTTCCTCAAATCCCTACCACGATGGCAGGCTCAGCAAAGATGGGGGTCTCGGGGCCGGCTCCTTGGCTGAGTGGTTAAATTCGCGCGCTCTGCTGCAGCGGCCCAGGGTTTGGATCCTAGGCGCGGACATGGCACTGCTCATCAGGCCACGTTGAGGCGGCATCCCACATCCCACAACTAGAAGGACGTGCAACTAAGATATACAACTGTGTGCAGGGGGGGTTTGGGGAGATAAAGCAGGAAAAAAAAAATACTGGCAACAGTTGTTTGCCCAGGTGCCAATCTTTGGGAAAAAAAAAAAGGAAGATTGGCAGCAGTTGTTAGCCTAGGCGCCAATCTTTAATGGAAAAAAAAAAAAGTTGGGGGGTCTCATGCTCTGTGTGGGCATCTCTCCATCTCATAGTCCTAGCACAACACAGGTACATAAGTGGCAGATGTGTTTTCAAACCAGTAACTTATGCTTCTGAAATCTAGCTTGGTTGCATGGTGGTGATAATCACTCACATTTGAACAAAATACTTTCCATTTACAATAACTCATTTAAAAAATGTGAGGACCAGATGAACTAATATAGTCAACATAAGTCCGGGTGAGGAAGGAGGGTCCAGTAGGCACTATAATTTGCCAGGTGATTCATGGCGTCTCTTTCAAGGGGCAACTGGCCTGTGCTGATTTTTTTTTTTTTTTTTTTTTTTTACCATCGTAGCTTCTCCTTGTTTATGAGAATACATGATCAAAAAGCAAAGTAAAATTGATGTTGTTTTACATATATGTGATGTCGGTTGTTTTCACGGGAGAGGATATACTTAGCTTGTGGCATTAAGGTGAAACTAAGCCATCTACAGTGTGTGGCCCTTACTAACTGTCTCCTTGGAAGATGTTTGTCTTTAAAGTGGGCATCCTGATCTTAAACTTTGAAACTTTGACAGTGGACCCTAAGAAGTATAAGTTAACAGAATTAAATAATTCATTTTCTATTTACTGTTTTCTTGAGAGATCTCCGGTTATTTTCCCTGCAAAATAAGAAATTTAGGAGAGAAAGTTAAGTGTGAAGTCCTTTAAATTGCCCAAGGGCCCAAAGCGATAATATCTGCTGCTTAACGTAAATTCAGCAGCACACAGTTGCCATGGAATTCCTGTGACCCCAGGGTCTCCAGCTGCTGTCACTGATTACCTGATAGAGCAGGTGAGGGAAACATTGTGTTCTGAAAGGAGAGCCTTTGCTGGCAGGCCTCCGCTGCTTTGCATACTTTCAAACTCACCTTGACTCGGTGCCCTTGTAGTTTGCCTTATGAAACTTCACTGTCTCTTTGCCAGAAGATTTAGGTTTTAGGTATGGTTTTTGTTTTTGCTCTTCATTTCCTTTAAAATTCTTCTTGTCTTTTAACCGATCTGTCTTCATTCCTTGTCTTTTTTAGGGCAGAATAGTTGGATGCACATAAAGTTTGTGTTGTAGCATCTTGTTGGCATATAATATTGCACACGATATTTCTCTAGTTATTACATTTCTCATCATTACATTCAAACATTTTTCAAATATTTATTGGACAGGATCCAGAACGTTTCTAGATCCAGTTACTGTATTAGTCATACAGAGGTGCAGAGTCTGTTTTCTTGTGTAATTGTTAATTCCAGAGTAAGTTCATCCCGGGTGAATGCTCCTAGAACTTCCTCTCATAAGAAGCTAGTTGTTTTGTATTCACAGACAAACCCAGGCTTCAGCAGGAGATGAAGAACATGAGACCTGGCTGGTTGACACAGGGCTGCCCTGAGAGACCATGGCACCCGTTGTCCTTCCGTGTCTGCTGTGGTGGTGGCCACACCACTGTGCACAGTGTAGTCTGGTTGTGGGACTGTGCCAGTGAAGGACAACTTGTTGAATTGCAATGTCTATAAATTGAAATTTGTCATGAAAGCTCTTAGGGAAGATGAATAAGGCAGGGCTGATGCTAGGATAGCTCGTTTTATCATCTTGTAAGCCAGGATCTGTTTTCTCAGGGTCTTTTAAAAGGAGCTGTGCATGCAAAACATTTTTCTTGTACATTGAAAAAGTACCAGGCACTCAGGGCATCATCCATCCTAAGCTAACATGGATGTTCTGCAGTAAGCTAGGCGGAGGGTTTGGGTACCAATTTAGAGTTTTTATTTTAAAAGTTGATGTTTGTCAGCTTAGACATGTTTCCATATTCCCTATTTGAATAAATAAATCTCTTTCATTATCTATTTATTTTTGTCTTTTTGGTACATAAAATTGCTGTTGAGTTTCAGTGCCCAGTTAATGAAGTTTCTGTGGTTTACAGTAGTGTTAGCTTTTCGCAGACATCTTAAAGGGCTAAGGCCTTGATAGTGACCTTTTAAAATCTTAAGCCCATTTTCTGTTTTTCAAGAAAACTCCATTAATTTTAACTCGCTTCATCTTAAAATTTGCAGTCTGTTTGTTAGAGCTGGTACAGAGTCTCTCCTTCATTGATTGAGAGGATTTACTAAGAGAATTGACACTGTGAATCAGTCTTTGGGGTCAGTGTGAGGTGTGAATCTTGAGACAGAAAACCGGGTTCTCAGTCCAGCTGTGTTGTCAGTTGTCATCACCTCTATATATCTCTAAGCATGATTGTTGTGAGAATCAAAGACATAATGATGTGGAAATATGCTTTTAAAACTGTCATATGCTTTACAAATATTGCTACATAGAACTGTTTTCAAAAAAAAAAAAAACTGTTTTCAGGCATCCTTATCCATTTCAGAAACGCCATTTCTTGGTAAAAAATTGGTATACTAATTATTAATCATTTTATACACGTTTAATGTAAGAATAGTTATTGCTCCCAGTCTTGCATATAGTACCCAGAATGTTGAATACTTGGTAAATGTTCTGTTTAAATTTAAAAGAAGCACCAGCTCTATTTCTTGAAGATACTCTGTAATTGAGACTTTTTGATCATTAGGCTTAGCTTTTTCTAAACTGGGCCACATTAGTGAGTATTCATGTACATTTGCCTATTAAAAGAGGAAAATGTCTGCATCACTTTATGTCACTATACTGGGTCACCAAACATTTCTTGCCCCACACAGAAGTCTTGGTGATTAAGGCATCAGAATCCAGCCTCAGGTGGTTTGGCTTGTTTGGGTAAGCCTGATTCTTAGATAAATATAAGACAACCATTGTTATGTCTCTGGGGGTTTTATTTTTAAATCATTTCTAGTTAATTTTATACGTTATGACTTTAAGCAGTTAAAAAAAGCAAAGCCAGACCAAAATTATTATAAAAGAGAACTTCTCAGGGCCTAGTTTTCTTGCTTCTGCTTCCCCCGGCTAGCATGGTGTGTCTTACACAGACCTTTTGGCAAACATCGTGACCAGAGAGAAGCAGTAGTGTGTCAGAGAGAAGGCATCTTTGATATTCTGCTTCAAATACCAATTAAAATCACGATGTCCCCGTGTCTTAACCAGACTCCGTGCACTCTGGAATGGCCCTTAGAGGCTTCTCAGGGCAGCAGCCGTGTGTCAGTTGGTTCTTGAGAACAGTGCATTGTGGGAACCTAGAGAAATTACTTCACCTCTCTGGACCTTGGTTTTTCTTATCTGTTAGCCCAGGGAGTGGACTAGATGATTATCTGTTTCTCATCCAGCCTCAAGATAATAGAAGTGGCTATTGAGTAACAAACCTAAACCTTCATAGACTCTAAATCTCCAAGTTTCCGTGGGCCTGATCTTGGGATGTGGCCAGAGCCCTATTTCCTTGAAAAGATTTTGCTTTTTAACCAAAAGAAAAACAAGAAACCTCTATAGTCATTTAAAGGTTCAAAGTTGCCAAGCCAACAGTCTGACACTAGTAGCACAAA